ATAAAAGCTTTATAATTATTTATAAAAAGGTTAACCTATTTTATAAAAAAGGGGGGCTATTTTTATTCTTTAAGTTTATATACTAGGTAATTATATATAATAATATTAAATATATTAAAAATATTAAGTATAAGAAGGAAGATAATAAAACCTTAAGCTAGGGTAATTTTAATATTATATAGTAAATAGGTAATTAAGTTTATTATAAACTTTTTTAAAACAGCCTTAAAATATTATTTTAATAATATTTTATATTTTATTATTAAAAAAAAAACTTTTTTAACTAAGAGTTTTTTAAAGCTTTTACTTATATAAAAAAATAAAAAAATAGGTTTATAACCTTTATATATAATATATACTTTTTTTAACTTCTTAAATTTAGGGATAATAATAACCTTTATACTTTAAAAAAAAAGTAAGTAATATTTTATTATTAAATATTTATAAAAAAGGTTAATTATATATTTATTAATAATAGGTTAAGTAAATTATAAAAAGGTAATTAATATATTATTTATACTAAGTATAGTATTTTTTAACTTTATTATAACTTTTTTAATCTTTAATTTTAATATTATTTAATTTTAGTAAATATTTTTATTAATAAGAAAATCCTTTTCCTATAGGTTTAAAATATCCTTTTTTATTATTTTTTACTTAAGAAGTTTATTTTTAAAAAAGGTTACTTTTTTTATAAAGTTTAAAATACTTTTATTTCTATTTATTAAAGGGGGTAGTTAAAAGTAATCTATTACTTTATATTACTTAGCTACTAATTAAATATTTTTAGTAATATTAGCTTTTACTATAATTTTATTTTAGTAAGCTTATTTACTATAGTATATAAAATCTTTAAAGGTTTTATAAACTTTTTTTTAAGTAGGGGAGTTATTTACTACTTTTTTATAAGCTTTATAAATTACTTTATACTTTTTTAACTACTATAATATACTATAGCTATTTTAGTATTTAATTTTACTAACCTTTTTTATAACTTATTTAAAAAGGTTTTATAAAGCCTTAGTATATTTATTAAGGTTAGTTTTTAATAATATAATTAAGTTAACTATAAGGAAGGTTTAAGTAAAAGAGTATATAAGTTAACTAAAGTTTTTTTAATATTTTAATAAAATATATTTTTTCTTTATCTTTAAGATTATTTTAAAAGGCTTAAGTAGGTTTATAATTATTATATAGTAATTTAACCTTATATTAAAAAAGTATTTAACTTTAATTAATATAAAGTAGTTTATAAAAACTAAGTTAATATATTTTCCTAAATATTAGGTAAATATATTTATTAAAGCTAAAAAAAGATTATATTTTTTTATTTATTTTATAATTTTATTACCTATTAGGTTTATACTTTTACTTAATTTTTAAAATTAATATAAAATATTAAAGTTACTTATAATAATTAAGTAAAAGAGGGGAGGGTTTTATTTATTAAAGGTTTTTATAATTAAGTTTACTAAAGCCTTTTAGTAAATATTAATAATAATATAATTATATACTTTTATTTAATATATATATTTATTTTTTAAGTTTAAGGAAAAAAGTTATTTATTAAAAAAATTTAAAAAAAATTTAATAAATATAAAAACTAAAAGTTTAATATTTTTTTAATTATTTAAGGGGTTATATACTTAATATTTAAGGTAATTTTTAATTTACTTTTTATTTAATATTTTATTTTATTAAATATAAGGTTCCTAAATTAATATAATATTATAATTACTTTTTTATATTAGTAATAAAGTAATATTTTAGTATAAATTATTTTTTTTAATATTAATTTAAAAAATTTTAAAATTAGTATTTTTTTAGTAATTATAATAAAGCTTATTATTTATAGGCTTATATTAAAGGGTTTATTAGTTTTAAGGGGGGTATTAAATATATTTTTATTACCTTTAGCTTCTTCCTTTTTATTATTTAAGCTAGCTATATAAATTATTAATTTAATAAAGGAGGTTTTTTTATAAAGATTATTTTTATTTAAGTTAACTTTAATAATAATTTTTTTAGCTAAAGCCTAAGGGAGGAAAAGTAAAGCTAAGCTAAAGATTAATAACCTTATATAAAGGCTTATTTAGGTTTTTAGGTTAAATATTTTTTTAATATTAAAAGTTAAGGTAGAAGTAAGTTTAGGTTTAAGTAGGTTAATTTTATTATATTTTTACTAACTTAATTTTTAAATTACTTAAAGTTAGGCTTTAGTTATTTATATTTTTTTCTTATTTTTAATAATTAGTTTAATAAAATACTTTAGGGAATTTATTATATAAAGGCTATTATAATTAATATACTAAAGTAAAGATAAGTAATTAATTATAATATTATTATATTTAAAAAATAATTTATTATATTTATAATATTTTTTAGTTTTAGTGTAATTCTATAAGTTATAAAATTTAAAGTACTATAGGTATTAAGTAACTTAAGGGGGTTAAACTTAAATTTTTACTAAAAAAAAGTTATTAAAAAGTTTAAAGCTAGGTTTAATATTTTTATTAAAAAAGATAAAGTAATTATATATATTAAGGGATTTTTTAAAGTTAGTTTTATAATAAAAAATAAATAAACTTTTAGCCCTTACCTTAGTATATACCTTTTTTAAAATTAATATATTTATAGGGTAAGTTTTACTTATATTAGTATATATTTTTAATATATTATATATAAAAAAAACCTTTTATAAGTATATTTTTTAAATTTTTAAATTATTATTTTTTATTATTAACTAAAGTATAATAATTTTATTTTTAATATTTTAATTTTTATTTTTAAAAGTAAAGCCTAATTAAACTTTTTAAAAGTAAGTAATATTTTTATTTATAAACTTTAAAATTTTAATTAGTTTTTATTTAGCTTTAATAATTAATAGCTTTTTTTATATATAATTTAAGGGGACTTAAATAAAAATATAATTATTAAGGCTTTCCTTAAGTTTATTAATTTTATTTATATTTTTTTTATTAATAATAAGGGCTAACCTTTTACTATTTATAAAAAAATACTTTAAGTTATTAATTTCTTTTTAAAGGTTTTTATTATAAGTATTTTTTTATAATATAATTTATATTTATATAATCTTAAGGTCCTTTTAGCTTACTTTTTTAATAAATATAAAGGCTTTTACTATAGTAAAAGTTTTAGTAATATTTAATTTATTTTTTTTATTATAAAATATATTAGCTAATATTATTTTAATTAATTAAGTAACTTTTTCTTTACTACTTAATTTCTTAGGGTTTTTAAGCCTTTTTTTAAAGTTAATATAAAAGGTAATAAAGTTTTTAAAAGTAATATTTAAATATAAGTAAATTTATTTTACTACTACTAAAAAAAACTAAAAAATATATTATATTAAGTAAAAATTAATAATTATAATTATATTTAATATTATATTTTATTTAACCTACTATTATATATTAATTTTATTAATTTAGTTTATAATTTTATTTTTAATAAAGGATTTTCTTTTTTTATTTAAGTTAATAACTTCCTTTATATTATTAAAAATAAAAGTAATAAAGCCTTTTAAAGCTATTTATATTATAATTACTATTATTATTATACTTAGTTTTACTTTATTAAAATTAAGTAAGGGTATTTTATTTATACTAAAGGCTTTTTTAAAGTATTTTTTTTTTTAAAGGTAAAGGGGAAGGTTATAACCTTTTTTATTTTTAGGCCTAAGGGGGTTACCTTCTTTAGTAATTAAAAGGCTGTTACTAATCTAGGGGCAGCGGGTTTTATTCTATTTTAGTTATTTAAAGGGTTTATAGATGTTTTTATTTCTTTAAAGTCCCTAGATAGGACCGTAAATAAAAAAATCGTAGTTGTTTTATCTAATAGTTAGTTAAACGGGTGGGAGTTTTTTTTTTTTTTTGGTGGTTAGGTACCCAAAAGGTGGGGTACCTGTAGATGTAGGAGGGAAGCTTAGTTGTTCTTCAAAGGGTATCCCCGATGACAGGTTATCCAAGTAGTCCAAATAATCGAGGATATTTCCGCCCGGAGAACCTAGCTCCCCATCTATTACACCAGGCAGGAAACAGTCCCCAATCAGTTGATATTTCCGGACGGATTGATAAAATTGTTGGGATATAGGTCGTAAAACAAGTGGTAAGCTGCTGCCTGGCAGAATATAAATCTCATCGCCTTCCTTCATTAGCATTGGGCCCAAACCCACATCCTCATAGTTCTTCAAATGCCTCGGGCGAAAAAAAGAATAATTGAAAGGCTCTTGAGTATTGAGAAATAATGTTCGATTGGTTGCTGAGAGTCTCATAACATCCGTAAAATGACCAAAATGCCCAAATCTAAGCTTAATAAATGTCTGGAGCAGAAGTTTATCTTCCTTTTGACAATTCTGTGACATCATTTGGTCAAGCCACCACAGGAGGGCCTTTGTCTCCTCAGTGGCGAGTCGTTTAAGGCCTGCACCTCTAAAATATGCAGTATCGGACAAGATAGTTTTCAGGAAATTTTCTTGAAACTCTTCAAAAGAATCTACTTGTGACCTGCTCATAGCCACCTCATGCCATCTTTTAAGTACCTCCACAATTGAATTTCGATCAGATGATGCATACAGTGGCTCTGTGACTTTGGATACTGTTGCAATCTTGATGCCATTGACTGTTAGAGAATGTCCAGAATGATGAATGAGGCCATACTTTGGCAGATCTCTATGTCCGTCTTTATGGCAGTAACCTGCCAAAGTTTTGCAGAGGAGCTTAATATCTTCTATAATAAGCGAAGTAGCTTTGGTATTCAAGCATTGTAGCTTCTGGGCAAGTTCCTCGCGAAGAAGAGCTCGCGTGTCGGCCTCAGCTTTTAGCGAGTCAAGCAGTAAAGTCATCTCCTGTTTGATAAATTCATGTTTGGAGGTTTCGCTCGTGTCCATAATCAATATTGGCGTCACTCCCTTACTGGCATCGAAAAGAGTAGAAAGAGCAGCTCGTTGGCGTTCATTCTCATCAAGCTCTGTGCTCCAATCTGGAACCCAAGATGGTATATCTCGTCTCGTTTTGCGACTATGATCCCCGTACAGAACGGAAAGGGACTTGGTATTTCTTATTGTCTCAATTATTGGCGCATGAAGACTTCCTTCACATCTAGCCGGTAATCAGGCCGAATAGCAGTTGTTTGGTTGCACAGTCCTAGAAGAGCATAGACTCTGTCTCGGTCATCAGAAGCCTTGCGGTGTCCAAAATACCGCATGAGCGATAGGAGATCGGCTCCTTGAGACTTCCTCCAATTGTGGCGAAAGCGATCTAAGTTGGAGACACGCGAGAAAAGATTGAAAACTTTCAAGTCGCTGATCGGAATAGAGTTAGGATGGTTTGCGTATGAAGATTCCCAAGATTGTAGCGCAGTTGCAACTTTGACTAGTAATTCCCATGAGATCTCCACGTTGCCGTATCTCACGGTGAGCCTTTCAGAGACGACTGCTTCTTGAACGACCCATATCCGATCCCACCAAGATACAAGTAATGTGCGTCGCAATGCCTCAGAAAGCTGTGTTAAATGAGTTTGCGGAAAATCTGCCAGAAATTTGAATAGAGCTGAATGGCTTGGGCACTGGGCCACTGTAGTCAGAAAAGAAAATATCTCATAAGCCTGAACCGGTGTCTTCGGCGGTGATGTCTTCCAAATGTCGACTGCGGCGGAAGAAGCATCCACGGTGCCAACATCAAATCTCTTGAGCGGACGAAAATCTCCACATGATTTGGAATGTTGCTGGCTGTAATCCAAACCGTTACCGAGAAATATTATCACCTCGCTAGCCATGCTATAGATCTCGCGCATCTGGGCAACCTGTAATGATCGCTCCTCGATGTTGCTTTGGTCAATGCACTATGTATCGGTTAGTACTTTATTCTCGGCTTCGCTTGGCGGCAGCATAATCACCAATGCATCGATCCAAAGAGTGGCTTTCTTTTCCTGTTCTCTCAAATGTTTTAGAGCAGTTTCAAGATTGGCCGTCACTTTGACTTTATAACCATTGACCAATATCTCTGGGCGGTTTCGTCTCCCACGCCCCCAAACATACGAAAGGGCCTTATATGGAGGATATCCATCGCGAAGTCGATTATACCGGTTGAGTGTGCAGTGGATTTCATCATTCCATTGACCTGGAGATAGCTCGATTAAACGGAAAAAGCCAGGTTCTGTAGATGAGTAGGCTGTAGACGAATAGTCCATAATTGACGTCGCAGCCAGCGTACATATATAAAGAGTTATCAGGTGTTCAATGGTGTGCAGTGTCCATATTCCTTGTGGCTTATTTCATAGCGGTAATGTAGTAAATCGTGTCAATATTCTTTTTCCTGTGCGAAAAACAACCTGCAGTATACCTAAGAGACTTTTAGAAAATCCAAAGTCTCTTCAATGATGCCTCTCTACTCCTTCTCAGCCCAATGCTCCGCCCAAAGGGAAGCCCAATACCACCCACGTATCTTGTTTAGGCGTCAGCCTACAGGCAACCGAGCCTTTGTGGCTATGCAGGACAACAACACGGCCAATCAGATTCCAAGGCCCCAGCACAGCCTTCATTCTAAAGCCACACCATTGGTAGCTGCCCGCTGTATGGTTAAACCGTGCAAATTGAAGTGATATGAGGCTTTATGCTACTGGAGGCTCTTATCATGTAGAATGGCGCCGGTCGGGTGCGGCCAGTCGCAAATCTATAACGACGGAGCTACATTACGCCCAATAAATATGGCTAAAGGATGTCAGATATTAATAACAAAAGAAGGAAGAGTAAGAGGGTAATGACAGGCAAATGGAAGCCAATGCGGGGCCAAGAGCGAATCTCAGATGTATTTAACCTAAGGTATATATGGCACATACAACAAGGCCTTAGAATCGGTATATCAATCTCGTCCACAGGTCATTTCCATCATGTGCATGTCTTCAACCAACTCTGAAACCAACGGCCATAGAAGCTTGAGTTTGGATCTACTTACAAATCCATGCTGTCAATGGCCGGCGGATCATGTGTATCCAGGCAAATATCTAGAAATAAAGGCATTCGGCTGCCATGATCTGATCTGAGATCTTGGTAGGGATACTCGTCTCGGAGATAGCATAAGAGATCACCACAGAATCATGAATACAATCTTCGTCACTGCATGGTATCAGTCAACACCAACTCGAAACACGGCAGAGTGTTTGACATACTTATAAAAAAAGCACTTAATGGTGTGATCCTTGATTGTTGGGATAAAGATGGAACCACTGCTAATGAGTTAGTTTACGATCCTACTGTCATACGAGGATTAAGAACTCACATGTAAAGAGAATCGAGGGGAGTACACTGGTTATCAACCAAGGTCTGGCTGCCTTTGTAGTTTTCATGGGAGAAGACAAGAGCCTGTTTCAATTGACTTTGATCAGCATTGAGTCAATGTCATTTGACAGGCTTAGTTCGACTCACAAATGGATCTGGTACTGGATCAGCACCCTTTGCAGCAGATGCCAGAAAGGCGAAGGTGAACGGCAGCAGGACGGATAATTGCATGATTGCGAATATGCTATTGTAGATCTGATTTTTTGAGAATGAGATGGACTCGGTATTGAAGATTGCGAAAACGGTTACTCTTCGAAGAGTATTGAATAGTTATTAATATGCGATTTTAACATGGCAAGTTGCGGTGAGGGTAATGGACCATTTGAAGACATGCATATGAAGCCTCATCCACAAAAAGAGTACTAGTAACACAGAGAGTACGGCAGAACACATTACGAGAAATTCTGCAGGGGTATGAGACTTTCATTTCCGTGTGTTTCAGATCGGATTGTGTTCACCGTGACATGTATTGGCTGAATTTGGGCCTTGGCTTCAGTGTTATCTCAATATTTTGCCTGATCATTTCGTCAGATATGCTCTGCAGTACTGAAAAGGCGTAAAATATTTTAGCTATATCATGTTAATATTTTAAGCGATCAATATAGTTTTAAACCCTCCGTTGTTATTAACTAGTGATATCAAATAATAGAACAGGTGAGAAGGAGAGGGAGAAGTTACACAAAGCATGCATGTTTGAGACATTGGGCACCTCTTTGCCTCTATCCCCACATCGATCACAATACGAAGAGGGGAAAGGATTAGAAGATGCATCTCTACTGAAGACAAATTCTAGCCTATTGAAGCAGTATTACATCATTCGGCTACACATGAAGGATAAGTCAAGACTAATACTGAATGAAATCTTGTAACTGTGCTAAGATGCTAGGAGAGCCGCAACTTAGACGACTCCGCTTTCTCTAAGCATACATACATGTTAAAAGCTTGGTGTTTGGCCTGACCTTTTGTATACTAGATACTCCAGTTACCGACCGGTAATACTAGAATAACGGGACCGTTTAGAGCCAACTAAGGTCTTAATCAGAGGATCCGTAGCAATATAGTTGCCCAGTTTCTGCAGGGCTTCAAAGTCCCTTAATGAGAGAATGCTTTGGCTATTCTCAATGTTAAGGAAAGTCTTCAGGCCGCTTACCTGAGTGGGCAGTGAGTTTAATGCCTTGTCATGGCAGAGTGTTGTAGGTTAACTAGAAATCGAGAAACGATTCCAAGCAAAGGTTCCCAGTTCCCTAAGATGCCACTGTGATTAGTCCCTCAATCATTAAGCACTATTGATCAATGTTTAAAATCTACAAATATAATTAGACCGCGTACGAAGAAACTGATTAACTTCATAAGCTAGGGTGCATTTCTCGTCGAAGATCATGATGTAACTAGAGTCACGAAGCACTTTGCTGCGTGCGCGGAGGGGCTTGCCGCTAGCCGTAGCGCATGTAAATGTACTTGGTTCTTCCCCCACCATGCATGGCTCTCGCAGGAGGCCCCCGCTATCCGGCCTGCTAGTGCTGTGTCCAAAAGTACATGTACCTGAGCATGGCCTCGTGAACATGTGCTTCCCTTCGAACTTGGACGTTCCTATCATCGCATTTATCGCAACCACTTTCTTTGCCGCACAACTCATAGCTGCTATGATGCGTGCGTCTCAAAGGCGTGTCTACGAAAAGTAAAGATGGAATATTTGGAATCTGGTCGAAAAAGTCATAGCTTTGCTTACTAGCCCCACTGATACTCGCTTTAGTGCTCTCGTATTGCTCAGGTATAAGACAGCCATGCCCCCTCAAATGAGGCTTTACGAATGCACTGAAGTATAGCCTCATACATCTACTTCAACCGGCCAATTAGCCACGGACAACCTCTTGAGCATCCTGTATAACGGTTAGAGAACGCCTAGGTCACCATGAGCAGCGCCGCGGATGATGTTGTCTCCTTGTTTCGCATCCACACAGAGGCCCTTGCGAAGCAAGATTGGGCCACAATTACTGCCAGGCTTCATCCAAGCCTTACTCGAAACCACATTGCTCTAACCGCCGAGCAGTATGTTAATCAAGCAAAAGAGGGCTTCAAGGCGATACCCGACTTGGAAGTCGCCCTAGACCAGGCTTTCGCCGATAAAAACGGCAGCTTTGTCTTTGGTCGCTTGATCGTGCGCGGCACACTCAAACAAGAGTTTATGGGAGTCAAGCCCTCCGGAAGACCATTTGAATTCTCAGAACTCACAATTTACGAGTACAGAGATGGTAAAGTCTTTCGAATCCTCACGGCTACGGATAAAGAGTCAATCAAGAATCAGGTCGAGAGCCTTCCCCGGACACCATTTGACACAGGATACGGCTATGGGCTCCCTGAGCAGACAACCGGTTTAAAAGAGAAATTTACAAATCTCATAGAAGGCATAACAAAGGGAAATGTGAAGGAATCCGTCCTCAAATACTGCGCTCCCGATGTTCTGTTCAATGGCATACGGAATATTACGAGGGAAGAGATAATTCAACAGAACTTGACCATACAAGACGCCCTCACAGACTTGAAAGTGGAATTTGACGGACTAGTAGTTGATGAAGACCATCAGCGGGTTGGCTCTGCTTACTTCGTCACTGGACGAGTTACCAAGCCGTTCAAAGACTATTTGCCGGGTCAAATTGTTCAACAATACAAGTACGCCATCCATTTCATTAACGAGGATGGGCAACTTGGGGCCCTTACGTCAGTGGTAGAGAGCGAAAAAGCTATTGATGAGGGTACCGAGGCTGCGCATTGATATCGTGGGGAGGGGTCGGTCAAATCTGGAAGCTTTTAATGTGGCCTTGGACAAATCTACATCAACAGATCTCTAAAAATCTCGAAATGCGGTAGATGGCTAAACTTCCCACGTGCTTAATATTAAGGCTATTACATGCAAAGTCTTACGGATGCAAACTGAAGGAAATTTCCACTCTCTACACTCCCTAACGGCTATCAACACACAAAATACTTATTGGGGTATTATTCAGGTAGAAAAGACTGCGAGCCACTTGCCTGTCAAAATCGCGAGGTTGTCGTGCGGAAAAATAATAGCTCCACCCTCGCTGTGTAATAATCGCTCTTCTCATACGATTCAAAATGAGTATACCTACAATAGAGACCCTTTGCCATAGTAGCCTCTGTACGGCTAACTCATCCCTATCCACGTATTGATCATACTGTACTCTGTACGCGGATTTAGGACTCATTTCCGAAATTCCCTATTTCGGAATGTGTAGGTGGATACTCAGTCAGTCTGTGCTGATTAAATACATATCGACATTAGTCAGAATATCGGATCAAACTTCATGGCAGATGGTCACCGCTGCCGTCTACTAGATACCCTCACGAACATCTTTTGAAGAAACGTTGAGAACTTTAAGTAACAACCTTCAATACATAATCATGAGAGTAGGAACCAGCCGAACTGCAAACGAGCCACAGCTTAAGACGCGAATCAGTCGTTGGAGACGGTACCAGCCGCCAACGAATCTTGTATGTGGTAATGATTCGATGGCTGAAGTAACACCATCTGGGCAAACACATAGACGAGTGAGAAAGAGGATCGGATTGGAATTTATCAACACAGCGCATCCTCATGATGCCACCTCGTCGACTGCCATTTCCAGCATTCGGTCACACGCGGCACGAAATATTCATGCGTCACATCGCGCGTCGGTTTCACAACCGAAGGGGACTAAGAAGAAGAGGAGAACGCAGATGGATACTAATGACATCTCTCTTTTGAGTATAGATTGGCCAGTGAACCTAATGATTCCTATTTACAGCGGTTTACTTCATTGCTTTGCACGGCCAATGACAAAGTTTGAACATTTTCTTCTCGACTACTGTAAGTGGCCGTTGGATGAAGAAATTTGAGAGTCTTCTACCCGTATACCACTAACTTGCTATTAGATGCAGCATCAGTTATCCCAGATGCCCACCTTTGGTGCCACCATGGCGATGAGGAGGCCCTCTTTATTGAAGGTGTAAGACTGTATTGGCTTCCCTTTGTAGTCACAGACAGTGGCTTGTTAGCTGGTATATTCCTGTCCTCGTGTCGTAATCTTGCACTTCGCGAGCATCGACCACATGCAAATCATGAGTATTCTCAACTTGCAATGATGTACAAACTCGAATGCATCAGGTCTGTAAATGAGGCTATTGCTGCAGAAGGACCAACAATTATCGAAACTACAATTGCGAAAACCCTACTATTATGTGCGGATGAAGTAAGTCAAGAGCTATTTCTCCAGTGCCAAGAGACGGTGTCTAATAAAACTATGGCGTAGTTCATGTGCGATGACCTAAATGCCTCAGCTCTGCATTTCGAAGGTTTGAACAACATGATCCAGTTGAAAGGAGGTTTATCAAATGTCGGAGTCAATGGGTTTCTGAGACAGGCTCTTAAATGGTGCAATTTGGAAAACATTCTGAAAATAAGCTTACCGAATTATAATCCCAAATGCACTAGAGATACTTTATGAGAAGCTATGTCTTTATATAAACTTCCTTCAAAACCTTTCCATGCAAGGACATATTGAACGAGACTGGCATGATGGAGATTTATAAGACCCTTCACTAGTTCAGTATATTGAGAAAATCTCTCATATAGATCGATAGGCTATCCTTTCAGTGCTCTTCCTTATTATCTTAATAGTAATATACGAGGCGTAACCATACGTTTGATCTAATGTGGCGGCTGCTTAGTATCTATGAAGAACTGCTCAAAGTCTCCCGAATGGAGTCCTCCAAACTCTTCCAACCATCTTGCTTAGCCCACTTTTTCAACAGCTTCAGTGGAACCCTATCATCAGCTGTTGTAGAAATTGCGGCAGGCACCAGGAAATCGTCAACAACTTTATGGGTTGGATCAATACGTCGAAAGATAGCCAAGACATCATTCCAGTTGAAAGGAGTCGCCCAGGCTTGGATCCGCTCTTCTTTGGTGTCCTCATCAAGAACTGCAGCGACATGAAGGACTGCAACATCTTTGACATTAACGTAGATAGCTGTTTCATACTATTAACACACGAAGAAACTCTTTGGAGGGATGGCCGAAGCAATACTCACATGAAGGCATCAACCCAGCAAAGGTTGTGTCACCCTTCCACAAGGCGCTAACCCAACCAGCTGTACCTCTTGCATGGCTGGGATGAAGCATAGCGCCAAGGGTGGTAAATGGGCTCACAACGTTGGTTACGAAGCTGGGCTTCTCTTCTTGAATGAACTTCCAAACAGCCTTCTCAGCCTCCACCTTACTCGCCATGTAGGTGACCATGCCACGGGAGGCGTCGTATGGTGGTGGAGCCCACGCTGCCTGCACAGCCGCGTCGTTCCAGGTATCGCGGCCGACATGTCCCGACGCACCAGGAATGGGCATTATGGCTGAGCCAGCTGAGGACGTGAAAACTACGCGTTTAACGGAGGGTTCTGCAGCAGCGGCTCGTAAAAGCGAAACAATTCCAGACACGGTTTGCGGAATAACCTTGTTCGGGTCCGGATCAAGGTTTGAGACAGTGGCAACGTGAGCAATAGCTGCAACACCTTTAATGGCATCATCAAAAGCGTTTGGGGCTCCAAGGTCTGGCACCTGGATAAGCTCTACATTGCCAGCCGCATGCTCAGCCGAGAACAAATCATTTGTGAGCCAAGACGCCTTGGATATATCTCGAACCGTCCCGCGCACTTTATATCCCTGGCGGAGAAATTCCTGTGCCACATGTGTTGCAATATAGCCCGTAAGGCCTGTGATGAGGACAAGGGAGCCTTTAGGGATAGCTGCAGTCGGTTCTGCCATGACGATACAAATTTACGAATTCGTGGTGAAGTTAGTGTATAATGATAGTATGATGGTAGTGAACAAAATTCCTCTCTCTTCGAGTTATTGCCCATACTTATATACATCAATTACGTCTCACTTCAGCAGAGATCTAGTTCCCCGAGTCCGCCTTGCTAAACAATCATTTCAGAATTATTAATCATTATCTTTCGTGGCTATAGAACGAACCTATATGGATTGATAATCGTGACACGTTTCCAATAGAATAAGGACTATTACAGCAATCGTATTCGAAGGCAATTGAGATATTACTGTTTTGGGAATGTGTGCTAAGCGTTTCTGTCTGTATGAGCTTTAAGGCCACGGACACAAATTTTGACGATTGATAGGCCAAATCTATGGAGCAAAGCGTTTATTAAACATTGCTTGATGAATAACATAACGTCTGATTGGGAATATTGCCAATTATCATTTTACCGGCTTAGCAAGCAATGACTTGATTAGTCTTTCCGCAGGACGAGTAGGCCAATTTATAGATGGAGGTTCCCTTTATATGTTCGAGTCGCTCTGTTTACGGAGTATCTTAAGAGAGCTAGTGAACCTGTTGAAGTTAACCTAATATGATACATTTCAGACTTTTGAAGGGCCAGGCGTCCTGATGGGGGATCTTCCTCGAGAGTATGTCTTGGTCATGAACTCATTGATCATTTCTGAGGAGCGGAAATAGCTTCTCCGCATGCCAAACGCTCCTATGTTGATAAATCAATACACCTAGTCATGTCAATGTAACTGATAAGAATTTAACGGCTTGCACAACAGAGAGTAAAAGTGAGGCGATTCGCCCTTGAGCGCGTCCATGAGCGGGCACCAATTGGCCAGATCGGGACGCCAAGACCTTTATTTCCTTTTTAAGAAGCTGTACTATTTTAGTGGATCTACAAAATCTCGCCGAATAAAACACAGCGATTTCTCCAAGACAGCGGGCAAGATGCACATCATCACTAGAGATTTGTGTCAATTATGTGGAATTGTTCTTACTTTAGGAGGTGGTTTGGGCATTCCCATTATATGGACCTTTTTCGTGGCAAATTAGACACGGTAAAATATTGGACGGGAAAATGAAGCACCAACAAGTACACTGTTGCTTTGGTGAAATCCTCACACGGATTCTATAATCCCGACATACATCTCCAAACATGCTGAAGTTCCCATCCTGCATCCATCCCAGGCGCCTAAAATCACTAATTCAACCCCAGGCCCTTTCTTTCTTTTTGCGATATCTCTTATTGGGCTTTCTAATGTGCAGGATCATTAACACAATTGTGACCGGGTATGCTTTAGCATCCACAAATGAACGTCATTGATATTGTCGCTCGCCGTCAATTATGGTAGCAGGCAGTTCATTGAACCCATTTCTCTTAATTCCGATGGCAAATAGCCTTAAGACCATAAACAAACAAGAAAAATGTTGCCTAATTCCGCAGCGGAGTTGGAATGTGTAAGATGTTCAAACAAAGTTCATAGTAATCTGGATCATCAATGGCGGTCTAACTTCCGGACGGAGTACTCCATGGCTGCGGAAATATCCACTCACTCTGTGGAAGCTTTTACATTTAAACTAGTTTCTCTCTGTTCCATCATGCTTAAACTGCTTGTTGATTCCCAGCAGAGCATTTATTTGTTATTGTAAATGAATGCGCTCAAGAGGGCCTTCGTCATGTCTAAGGAAGAATCTCAAACGGCAACAAGCGTTGATGACAATGCAGACAGCGATACTAAACAGCCCGCTGAAACGGAAACTCCCTCCGACGAGCCATCGCTTTCTCCAGCCGCAGTGGCCTTCATCCTCTTAGGATTGAGTTTGCCTGTTTTTCTCATTGCCCTGGATACTTCCATTGTTGCTACAGTTGGTATTCCCACGAATGGCGAATTTAACACTAGAACTAAGCTAACCGGCTTATGCTTCTTTTCTAGGCTATTCCATATATCACAGATCGATTCCAATCCACAAAGGATATTGGGTGGTATGGGAGCGAATATTTTCTTGCGTTGTACGTCTTCTTAGCTCGATGCCATTATATCGTGCATTAGTGCTAATATTGGCCCTATCAAGATGTTCACTACAGCCGCTGAGTGGTAAACTCTATGCAACATTTTCTCTCAAAGTAAGCAAAGCTGCCATTACGACATTTGTGCGAGAAGTCTGATCTAACCGCTAAAAGTGGACATTTCTCACCTTCTTTGCCGTCTTTGAGCTCGGTTCTCTACTATGTGCCACGGCAGTGAGCTCTAATATGTTTATCGGCGGGCGTGCTGTTGCAGGAGCCGGCGGAGCAGGCATCGTATCTGGTGCTTTTTCCATTGTCGCCTTCATCGCTCCGCTTGAGAAAAGACCACGTAAGAACTAACTTCTTCCACGAATGTACCCCCTTAAGACTAACCAAACAGTTTAGTGTATATTGGGTTTATATCCTCATTCTTCGGCGTTGCGACTGTGATTGGCCCTTTGATCGGAGGAGCCTTTACAGAACACGTATCGTGGCGATGGTGTTTCTATATCAACCTACCAATCGGTGCAGTAGCCGGTCTAGTGTTGGTAGTATTCTTCAATCCGCCTACTAGAGATATAGAAACCGAGCCCATCACCCGCCGCATCCGGGCTCTCGACCTTGTCGGCGCATCTCTTTTCATTCCGGCAATCTTGATGGCCCTACTTGCCCTGCAATGGGGAGGATCTACGTACCCCTGGAAGTCAGCCAAAATAATTGGACTTTTCCTCGGATTCGGAGGTCTCTGTGTGGTCTTTGTCCTCTGGCAGATTTATAAAGGCGAAGAAGCTATGCTGCCCATGTCCATACTCGTCAACCGCACTGTTACTTTCAGCAGCCTCACTCTAGGGTTTGCATATGGTGCAATATTCTCAGTCATGTATTATCTTCCAGAGTGGTTTCAAGTCGTCAAAGGAGCGGGTCCGATTAGAAGCGGCGTCATGAGCCTCCCAACCTTTGTTCTACAAATCGCCGCCGCTCTCCTATCTGGAGCACTTGCTCCTAAACTGGGTCCCCTAAACCCCTGGGTCTACATTGGTTGTGCTTTTATGGCTATTGGCATTGGACTCTACGGTACATTCGATCTCGACACATCTTCCGCACACTGGATTGGCTACCAGATCCTGCCAGGTATAGGATTTGGCATGATGGCTCAAATGCCCGTTGTAGCGGTGCAAGCCACCTTGCCCACCGCCCAGAGTCCTCTCGGCGTTTCTACAGCCACTTTCTCTCAATTCTTTGGCAGTGCAATTTTCCTAGCAATTTCACAAGCTGTGTTTGCCAATATCTTCATCAATAAGTTGACTGTGGAAATCTCCGGTGTTGATCTACAGAGCCTGCTCGCCAGTGGCTCAGGAGCTATTCGCAAACTGGTGCCTCCAGACGATTTGCCAGTTGTTCTGGGTGCATTTAATCAGGCTCTTGTAGGTACATTTTATCTCTCTGCGGCCGCGTCTGCAGCTGCGGTTGTGATATCATTTGGGATACCCTGGATCAATATTAAGGGAAAAAAATTTGACAATTGAGCCTGGAGCATGATACGGCACAATCGTTCACGCTTTACCACTGGCAGCCTGCGTTTCATTTCAATTTGCGGCTGGCTGGGATATACTGCAGGCAATTGATTCATCTCTTCAATCATGCCTTGCGACCTTCAACTATGTATTATACTTATCAAAGACTACCTTTAGAATGAACTCTCGCATATCTTGGAATAGATACTTATTTACCATATTTTTCACACAGATAAACTATCCTCTTATTTATTTCTCGTTCTTTATTATACCAGGATGACATGTCGATATCTTTCGGACCTAGGTTAGGCTTCTGGATAGTAGTTGTCTCGTTGGAGATTCTGTAAAGGTCCCTCGCTCTCAATCCTCTAAATCCCGACTACACCCTAGCCAATGCGATGTAGGCAGTAGTCATAATAGAGTAGCCGGAAACGTGTTTCTCTTTAAATTGGATGTTTTCATTGTTGTTACGATTAGTAGCTTATCGCCTTTCCTTCTCGCTCGCAGACCAGGGTGTGAAAGACTGCGTCGGCTACATGGGCCGTTCTGCACGCAGTCGCTGTTATTGGTCATCCCGCCACTTCAGCATAATACTGGTCAGAGCGATGTAATATAAATAAGTGACTCCATCCCCCATTCTCAAAGCTTTAGGGATTATTTACTGTGAGTAAATATTTGCCCCCAGGCTATCTAACATACATCGGCTTGGTTAATGCGTTGATCTAGTGTTATTTTCCCTCGCTTATGGCTCAACCGACCTCACGAACATTGGGCTACGGGACGAGCCTATGCGCTATCCTCATGACTGCGACAAAATGTTCTAACGACTTACTGCCAGGCCCTCGAACTCTTCAATAAGCCATCATCCCCGAACAGAGGCTAAAATGACTTCAAATATGTCATGATGTTACACAAGGCCATGAATTTCTCAGAAATTCGTGCGTATGTGGGGCCTTGCTGAGACGCGTTGCTGCATACTAGTAGCTGCGATGGACGCCGTCAGGATCGAATGTCTTGAATCCTGGCGCCAATTTCACTGCCCCAAATTCTTGGTGATTGTCAGTTCTGGGCATCGATTTACAGATCTAGGCAATTACATATAGCTGAAGTTTCATCGAGTTACTACAGGTCCAAAGCCACTAAAGATCACATCAAATTTTCGCCCCATACCATGGATTAATGTAAGCTCCATTCTTCCTCCTCTTTTTTTGTTCTCTACTAGGTGTTTATATTAGAAAACAGATATAATTCCCAGTTTTCTATCAGCAGTATAACGCATTGAGCTACATGTCACGTTTGCGACTTCTTGTAGCAAAAAGCATTAGCCTAGGTACGGACCACTCTGCTGCGCGTGTATTCCCAAGGATGCTGCTATTAATACATTTCACGAATTCGCGTGGCTAACTTCACATATATTAATCACTATTACTTCATGTTCCACGTTTGGCTTATTATTATCTCGCCACGACGCATTACATGTACTGTAGATCCGCAGAGATCCCCGCTCTGATGTTTCACAATAGGTCCTTGTTGTAAATCAGTGCGCGCAAGTGGTCTGCAAGAATACATTGAACGTAAAATGAATAGGTCACCACATGAAGAAGATCAAAACACTTTTATAATGAGTTTAGCGCAGTGGACATGTAAGTATTACATATCTCTTGAGCTGAGAATATGTCGATTCTTACCTCATTCGCAAATTCCCTTGATATAACATCGAAACTAGTGCACCCTCAAATGATATCCCCGCTCCTTTGCACGATATCTCTCCAACTCCAACCGGTGTCAAAATAGCCGTTCCCGGCCGTGTTTAGCCTATCTTTGTTTTTATGCGAGTTTGTTACTTCCAAAGATGCAGAACGGACCGGATTCGAACACCGATCTACAAGACTTGCTTGCCCAACTCGGTCGTTTCCTCAGCGCCAATGAGAATAGAATATCGGCGGCACAAGTGTCGAATTGTTTCCAGCATCTTTCAACAAACGAAATCTCTGCACTACACCGTCTCTTCTTCTTGCTTTGTAAGAACAAGGTTGGTCTGTCTCAGTGACACCCCATGCATCTGCTAATCGAGCCCAAGAGAAGTGACATCCATCGACTACGGACGACACAGAGACTCACCAATGGGTTCTCAGGCTGCGCTGCGGGCCTGTCCGGAAACGTCCATGTCCGACCACACGTCGACGAAATGAGCCTTACTGAACCTGGGCACCATCGATACAATCGCATACCTTCTTCTGGACGCGAGTGGCCAGAGAGAGAGGATGGTTCACGCGCACTCAGCCGTCCTCATCTGCAAGGACGTGGGAGCTCCTCTCCTTCAATCTCTGCGAATGGCGACAACAATCCCAAACAGCGACGAGGCGCCTATGCTGGCGATGCATTAGTAAATTCGATATCAGATGAGAATAACCATCGGGATATACCCAATATCCGCTGCTCAGAACAAACCGCTTCATGCCAGCAGTCTACCTCAAATACCGCCGCCAAATTGCCCACTCTCGCAATCGCCACACCATACCAACGTGACGGAGCCGCTGTTCAAAACTTGGCAGATCATAACAGCTGTGGCAGCAGCCGTTTATCCACATGTGTTGAAATTAAACTCACGCCGAGTACTGAACGACTCTTGGAGAATTGCAAAACAGACCCTACACAGTTCCTTCGCGCAATCAAGGAAGCCAAAGTAGCTCTCCCAAATGGGCAGGGTTGGGAAGCCGCCCTTGCCACGAAAAAAGAAAACACTGACATTCGAGACCTGCTGAGGATTTATCATAGATTTGAATGCTTTAACATTTACAGTCATGTCGTGGAAGCCGGATACCACACCAGTATGCACTGGGTCCGCGACGGGCGCTCCAGCCTGATCAAAAAGCTGTGTGAAGACTTTCCGAAGCGTTTCCAAAGCCAAAAAGCCGCCAATAAATGTTTGAACTGCGTTGATCAGGGTTGTAAGTATCATGAGTGGATCAAAATATTTAGTGAAACAGAAGATCTCGGGTATCTCATCGCATTGCCCTCGGACATGCCGCACTCAGCGTACGCCTCAACGCCCGGACGCATGGCTAAAGTCTGACAGATAATCATGTAGGTATACATCCAGATGCACCAGAGAGCAAATGAACGCAGCTGCTATCAAATTCAAGGAATTGGGTATAGATGAGCTTGTGAGGGGTTTAGGACTCTCGAGGCTAGGAAACCACATTGCGTCGGCATTGAGAGATATGACGGCCAAGAAGAATGGGCACACCAGTGGTAAGCCTCATTAAAGTGCTTTCAAAAATAATTCATCGGTATACTCATATACTCATATACCCAAATCAGGAGAAACGCCCCAAGTCTCTTGTGAACCAATGCAGTTGAACTCGTTCTCAAGCGTTGACACCCCCGTTCCAACGGCACCGCCAGAATCGATAATACCAAGCACTGATGAAAATCCTCTACTCTTTGGTAAACTTGTTACTCTACATTAAAATTCCTCTCGTTTAGGATCATTAGACTTACAAGCGCCGATTAGATACGAACACAATACTCATTTCTCCGGAATATGAGTTTGGGTGCCAAGGTAGACCATAGATGTTGAGACCGCCTCTGACATGTATACTGACGACTAATAGCACAACTGATCTCTACCATGCGCTCAGATTATACCATGAGTCAACTCCCGGCGTCTTTACTACCTACCGATAATTGGTATCAGTATCTCCATGAGACAGAAAACCACGGCGAAAGTTAGAACAGCCCTTTGGATAGCAATGTAATAGATAGCTATCCGTCCTTTAATGCAATATGTAAGTCATACCGTTTTTGTGAAATGGGAGCCTGTCATGTCTATGAAGTTCTTATAATAGTGTAAGATCGACTGCTGCGGGTATAGTAGTGATATCCTGGACCACAGCTACAGTTTGAGCCTGCCGGTACCGGTTTCGGTTGCTAGGTGCTAAGCGATACGCATCGTAGTCTAGATGTTAGCAATTTGAATCGATTACCGTTTTTAACCTAATTTAAACACCACTTGGAGACAGCATTTAAACATAGAGAAAGCATTCAAGACAGCCATTTCTACTGTAAAGATGTGGCCGTGTGAGTCGTGTTATTAAATGCAGAGCCACTCTTCCACTACAATACTGGTCGCGGGATTGATCTTTGTCCGACAGGATAGAAGACATGGTGCCGCTGTTAAATAGCTGTCATGAATATTTCCAGCTAATTACATGTAACTTTAACACATAATTAACGGGTGCGTCTCCCAGAGACAGCAATAGCAAATTAAATCACCGGATGGCTCAAACTTTTTGGGGTTACCTTTCCTACAGTCTACAGGCCTATCCATAGCCAAAAACAGGGTAACAAGCACAGCTCAGTGGATTAAAATGTGACTCGAAAACCATATATTCCAGCATGCCCGCACAGGATTAACCATTTAGAAAAGCATGCAGAAAGATCTTTTTAGTTTCTCCCATCCGTACCTACTTCCTTTCTTGGCTATTTTTTGACATCTTTTGCATACATGCCTCGGAAAAAAATGAATTTACATATTGTGGCTTCTTTTCGACGACTACCTGCGATTTTCTTTCTCATAGCCGTCCTTTCTTTCTCCGTGCCAGGATCTTCGGAGGCTACTCTTGAAGATCTATGGGGCTCCGATGTGAGTATTTCTTACTTGACCAATGGAACAATGGCTGACTTAGGTTGAATAGTGGGCATTCTCTGGTATTTCGACATTTAATCACCTCCCATACTCACGATGCTTGGTCAATCGCTCCGAAATATTCGATATCGCCGTTGTGGGCGTTCCTTTTGACTCTCTTACTACATACCGATCAGGTAAGATGACGTCTGATCCAAAGATGTAACGCCGCTCACAAACCTAGGAGCTCGTGAGGGCCCAAAGGCAATCCGATGGGCATCTGGGCGCCATCTCTCTGGTAGAAGCTTCCATCCTAGCCTTCATTTCAACCCATACGAATCATGGGCATCGGTTTTAGACTGCGGCGACATACCCGTTGTTCCAATTGACCCCGTTCTAGCGATGCAACAGATGGGTGATGCCCTATTTGAGCTGCTGTCACGTTCTACCTCGCAGAAAAGCCGATGGAGTCATCCTCGGCTGGTACTTCTTGGTGGTGACCACTCCATTGTGCTTCCCATGCTTCGGGCTCTACATAAGATTCGACAAGAGCCTGTCGCACTTCTCCATTTCGATGCACACATCGACACGATGGATCCTGACTCATATCCACGCAAGGCCTGGAAGTCGCAAGCTTCTGAGATCCACCACGGGACGGTGTTCTGGCAGGCAGCTCAGGAGGGTCTCCTTCTCCCTGGCCATCTAGTTCATGCCGGTGTCCATGGTAGAGTTTCGAGCCTGCAGGATTTCCACAGTGATGATTCTCTCGGATTTCTGCGCATCCCTGTCGAAGAGATGGACGATGAAGGCGCTGACGCTATCATCAAGAAGATCCACGATACAATTGGGGAAGACGTGCCCGTGTATGTCAGTATTGACATTGATGTACTTGATCCGGCATTTGCCCCGGGAACTGGCGCTCCCGAAACGGGCGGGTGGACGTCTCGCGAGATGATGAGAATCATGACCGTTCTCTCCAAATTGGACGTTATTGGCCTGGATATTGTGGAAGTTACTCCAGCCTATGACAGCGCCGGAGGTGATACGGCTTTTGCGGCTGCAAATCTTGCCTATGAAGCCATCTCAATGATGGTTCAAAAGGAAATGGAGACCAGTAAATTTGAGACACAGGCGGACTACAAGTACCAAAAAGAGGAATTGTAATGGAATTTGCAAGCAATCTACGGACTAAGACATCTCCAAGTCAGTACTTACTTCCAGATTCTTCCTCTTCCTGGCTCCGTATGAATAGTATACTGGCTGTTGAAGTGCGAAGGTAGGGATAATTAGCTATTAGATTTGGAACTTAGTTCTGATTCCGACTTAAACATATAGTTGAACAACTATCTCTGTTCCCCGTTTCGTTCCAGTGACCAGAGAGGATGGCTTCAATTGCCACCAAAGGCAATGCTTTCTGGCTCCCAAGCAGCCCTGTTTTGATTCTTATATCCACGAGATTTCCGAAACCTGAGCAACGCGTAATAATCTGCGCACCTGATCATAGTTATACCCTCGTTCATAGAATGTTGGCATCTGTCACAGCCTCCCTACATTAGGCCTCATCAAACTTTGACAGATACTCGCCGAGAGTATGAGGCACCCTTATTCCGTATATTGAAACTCATTTTTGGCGGCTCTTGATAGGTCACATCAAATAGATGCAGATTCTTGGGGGCTACCTGAGTGCCTGTAAAAGGCTTTTTGCCACTAGAGAAACACTGGGGCATAGGAGAATAACGCTGCATCAAACGCCAAACCACCCAGTTCCGGGCACATTATAAATTCTCCTCTGTCCGCTTCTGGTTCAGCATATACAAAATTTACTCTATTCATTACAGTTTTATCTTCTTTTACTGTCTGGTTTGTCTTTTCCATTCAATATGGCACCTAGTACTACTATAGTGGAGGACGGCGAACATATCTCGTCTGGTAAGGTGCAAAACAACAACCACGCTTCTCAGCACTTTAATGCACAAAACGCATTGGGCGTCACGTATTCCAGCATTTACAAAGCAAAGTTTGGCGAAGCTAGTCGTGATACGATTGATATGAACCAAGTCCGAAGTCACTTTCCTGTTCTCAGTGGAGAGACCGTATTGTTCAATAACGCATCGGGGACCGTGATATTGGGGGATGCTGTTACAATGTATGTTCTAAACTGACTTTTAAAAGCACGCATAACACTAATCAACCATACAGAGCAAGTGAACGGATGATTTCTATGCCAATTGACCGTGGAGATGGAGACCCTCGAAGTGACGCGGCACAAGCCGAGTATGCGAACAATTGGCTCCAGTGTGCTGCTTTCATCAATGCGGATCCGTCAGAGATTGGTAGGTCCAATGGCTCTTTTTTGTGAGTGGGCTCTATTTTGCTCACCAAGTGTTTTATATCAGCTTTCGGGCCGTCCACGACTGCCTTGTTACGGCTATTAAGCCAGTCCTTGCAACCGTATCTCAATTCGGACGCCGAGATGGTCTGCTCTACTCTGTGCCATGAAGCGGCGGCAAGCTCGTGGGTGTACCTTGCTCGAAGTTTGGGCATCACCATCAAATGGTGGATACCATCACAGGATGAGAAAGATAGCCCATGCCTCACGGTCGAATCACTCAAACCTCTTCTGACTCCCAAAACGCGCCTTGTTACCTGCAATCACGTCTCTAATGTGGTTGGGACGATACATCCAATTCGGGAGTTGGCCGATCTTGTTCATACCATCCCTGGCTGCATGATTGTTGTGGACGGAGTTGCCTGGGCTCCCCACCGTCCAGTAGACGTCAAAGCACTCGATGTGGATTTTTACTGCTTCAGCTGGTACAAAGTATTCGGTCCACATATAGCGCAGTTATACGCACACCGTCGCGCACAAGATCGCTATATGAGCAGTATCAACCATTACTTCCTTGATGCCTCTACCCTTGATGGCAAGATTCACCTAGGTAATGTTTGCTATGAGCTGGAAGCAATGTGTGGTCCCATCTCGAACTATTTGAGCAACCTTGGATGGGACGCTATCATCCAGCAGGAGACAGTCCTAACCAAAGTCTTTTTGGATTACTTGCTCAGTCGACCCACGGTCTACAGAGTGTTCGGAAAACAAACCGCAGATCCAAGCCAGCGAGTGTCAATTGTGATATTCGAGGTGCTTGGGCGCAAGTCTAGTGACATTGTGATGAAGATTCATGTTCGCGACCGATTCCGGCTTATGTGGGGTGATTGCTGGGCACCACGAGCAACATTTGATGTTCTCCGGCCACACAGCGACGGAATTATTCGGGCTAGTTTTATTCACTACAACACCGTGAGCGAAGTTCTAGCATTATGTGATGAGCTGGAACATGTGATTTCCACTTCTGAACCGTGACCTTTCACAGCAGGAAATCCCATTGCTTAATTTTTGTGGGGTGATTTGGGTTGGGAATGCTTCTTCAGCTCGTCCATTATAGTGCTCTTTCAACAATGGTAGCCTCTAATCAGCAAAAGGGCCTAGATCTGTTTTTATTCATCTTTGGCAACCATAGATCACTAATAAATACAAGCAGCATTGGTTAGACACATTATTCTCTTCTACCAATGTGGAGCGTAATACTACTTTCCAAGAATAGCTCTGCATTCACGCCCTTCCATTCCTACGTGAACGTACTCGATCTGCATCTTAATTACTGCAGTACTCTCAAGGAACTATTGTCCCGCTAGTTCCTAGGCATATAGAGGTTAGACTCGAACACGTTATGTAACTATGAATCATGATCTAGATTGTATAAATGCAATTGATGTCTCAGCTGAAGTAGGTCTGTGACCCTCATGATTGGATTCATGTCAGTTTCGGGACGCACAGAAGCGGCGACCTGCCTCGTATTTCAAGAATTAAATCCCTTAGTACCTTCGCGGCCAGAGACGTAACCTTCCAGGTAGATACGATAGGAAAGATATATAACTGGTTCCCTCTGCTGGAGCACCGACGAATTGACTCTTTTTTTAAAAACAAAAAAAAATATAACTATAACATACTATCGTTTATTGTGTTTACTATTGTTCTTTGCCACCATAATGTCTTCAATAGCAGCATCAGAGCTTTCTGAACTATGGATACGGAACACTCAAGTTCCTAGAGTGATTTCCACAACCGTCCAGAACTTGATTGCCCAACGCGCAAGCATACAGGGCGATCATCCGGCTATTGTTGCTTGGGACGGAAATTATACCTATGGAGAATTGATCCGTCTGGCATCAAATCTAGCCAACTACTTGTCTCAACATATTGGCCAACCCTCTGGCAAAGTACTGCCAATCGTGATGAGCAAGTCAAAATGGATGCCCATTGCCATGGTTGGGGCCCTGCTTGGAGGCTGGGGAATAGCTCCTCTCGATATTCGTACGCCAGCGGCTAGGCTTGCCGAAATTCTGGATATCCTTGATCCACCTTGTATCCTTACAATATCGGAGAGCAAAATAGCAATCGATACGACAGTACCAATATTTGCTGTGGACGACCTCGGCCTCGAATATCAGCTATATAGTGGCGTAGAGCGCCTGGCTGAGAACGCAGCGACAAATGTTGCGGCTGTTGTATTTACATCCGGCAGTACAGGATCGCCAAAAGGTGTGATGCTAAGCCCTGAATGCATCTCGACTACTGCGGAGTGCGGATCACAAATCCTCCAGCTCGGACGGAGTTCCCGGCTTTTCCAGTTTTCCTCGTTCTCATTCGATATCAGCCTCCATGAGACATTCATGACTCTGGTTGCTGGTGGATGTCTCTGTATCCCTTCAGAGACACAGAGACTAAATAACCTCGTCGCAGCCATCAACACAATGCAAGCCAATTGTATTTGTACCACCCCGTCTATAGTAATGTCGGCGCTGGCTGAAGCGATTGTCTCGACGCCGATCAAATTGATTGTGCTTACGGGCGAGGCACTCACATCACGAATTGGCCCTTTATTTGACATGGATGTTTCTCTGTTCAATTGGTATGGAGCAACGGAGTGTCCTATCGTTTCTCTTGCGCCTTTAATCAAGGAGAACTCGGCATCTTCGCAGATCAGATCTAAGCATCCCGGGAACTGTTGGGTGGTCCAATCTGACAACGCAGATGTTCTCTGTGGGTTCGGCGAGGTGGGGGAGCTGTTAGTGGAGAGCCCAATGTTGACAATGGGATATCTTAATGCGCCAGGGCAAACAGAAACAGCCTTTGTTGTTGATCCCACATGGCTAACTGACGGTCATGCCTGTGTTAAGGGTCGACGGGGCAGGCTGTATAGAACAGGAGATCTTGTGCGAAGCAACCGAGACTGGACGTTCGATTATATCGGCCGTAAAGATACCATGGTCAAAATACGTGGCCAACGTGTCGATCTGAGTGCGATCGAGTTCCGTATCTGGAATTATGTTCAATCAGGAGCCATGGAATCGCCGGTCCGAGTGAGAGAAGTACTCGTTGAGTCGATAATATCCAACCAAAATACTCAAAATGCCAGCATTTCCTGTTTTTTGTGCTTGGAATGTCAACCCCAATACTTGCCACAGAAACATCTAGCCAAGTCAACAAACTTACCAAGTATATATCTCTATGCGCCTGACCCATTGTTACAGAACCTTCAAGCAGAGATTGATCGTTCCTTACGGGCAGTTCTTCCTGACTATATGATACCATCTCTATATTTCCAGCTGCCTGAAGTACCATTTACTCCGTCCGGAAAAATTGACAGAAAACTTCTGCGCTCTTTGACATTACAGTTATCCAGTGATGATCTGATGGCATGCCGTATTTTTCCACAGGAAGGTTATGTTTTACCTCACAACGATACTGAAGTGGCCCTTCAGCGTCTTTGGGCAGAAACTTTGGGGCTGGACGCGGCCGTGGTTCACACAAACATCAGCTTCCTTCAATACGGTGGAGACTCTCTTAGTGCCATTGCCCTCTCTAAGGCATTAAGGACAGAGTTCAGTTTGAGCATACAAGTACCGCAACTCCTGCGTCGAGAGACTACGATTCGACATCTGGCAACACTGGTGGAGTCACACAAAAATGGCCAGATCGTCGATGGGCCACAGATGGATATATCGACGAGTCTGGGAGCTTGGGTAACACGGCTTGGAAGTACATCTATAAATCTTCCGAGCGCGGATTCTCTAGGAAGTCGAGGCTCCCAGGTATTACTAACGGGCGCGACTGGATATCTGGGAACACACATTTTGGGCGAGCTGTTCAACAACCATCAAGTGAGAAAGATCATCATCCTAGTACGGGCAGCCAACATTGACATTGCCCGAGAACGGGTTCGCAAAGTTGCAGTTACTGCAGGGTGGTGGAAGGAGAGTGCATTCTCTCGCATTGAAGTCTGGCTAGGAGACTTGGCCGAACCACGGTTGGGCTTACAAGAAGAAAAATGGGCAAAGATGGCCAATATCGACATAATCATACACAATGGAGCTGTTGTCAACTATAGTGCCAGCTACGACGCCCTAGAAAGGGCAAACGTTGTCTCAACCTTCCATTTACTAGAGGCGGCTCTCCAGTCTCAACACCTCCGAACTTTTATCTTCATCTCCGGTGGCATCAAACAAGGCTTGCACCAGTCAGATGAAGAATATCTACGAACTCTCAACGAATCGGAGGGATACAGTCAGGCCAAATACGTATCGGAACAACTAACACTGGCTGCAGGCCGCCTATACAACGAAGTCGTCCACCCTTCTGCCACACGTGAGGATGAGAGGGAGCCGGCAACTACGAGCCGAACCTTCATGGTTATCAAACCTGGCTACATCATTGGCGATCAAGCGGCTGGCCTTTCTAACACAGACGACTATATATGGAGGTTGGTCGCCGGAGCAGTTCGCATGGGATGCTTTCCTTCTGACCCACCCGACTATTGGCTGGATATAGCAGAGGTCACCTACGTCGCAAAATATGTAGCTCGCCAAGCGCAACTAGGAATACCCAATGGTTCCTCCGGACCTATGACCCCTCCTAGGTCCATTCACAGCGGCTGCTCTAGTCCTAGCAGCGAGGATGATCGAGAGAATAGAACAATGAAGTCTACTGTGGTATTCCATGATATGAGCCGCGGTTTACCGGTTAGCGAATTCTGGAATGCTATCCAGTCGCAAGCTCAAATATCTCTCAAACAATTGGACTGGGACTCATGGATTGGCCAAGCCAATGCTGACATTGATCGAGACAAAGAAGCCCACCCGCTGTGGGCCATTCAGCTACATTTGGGGCCGGCCCTTGGCGATAGAATAACGGCTGAAGAAGTCAAGATCAGGTCGACGGAAGAATTTGATACCTCGGGCGAGATTGAAGCGGCAGTCCGACGCTCTGTAGAGTACCTCTGCAACATCCAGTTCATTATCCTTCCGTTCAAAGAGGGTTCTCTAAACTCTTCACACGCTAACTGGAGTTATCCATCTAATAGCGATACCGACAGCTCCGTAGACGACAATGAACATCTGGCACAAAGAAGAGTCATCGCAGGTGCCCAGGGCAAACACTACCATACGATTATTAGTCGATCCAAGTTGAGGTATTGAAGCCAAGATAAAGTAGACCCACTGCCTTTGAGGTCATCTCAAAAAGCCCAAACAAATGTTAACGAACTTTACTCCATACATCGAGGCTCCAGGGCTAAGCTACATGTATTCAATATGAAGGCATTTTGCAACGTCAATCCCAGGGTTTGTGGTGATGCTATTGTGGTCAATTACTTCAGTGTCGAGGTGTCTAACTGCGCAGATTGAGTCCATAGATAGAAATGTACAAAATGTTGGCATACCCAGCAAAAATACTTAGTGGCTGTCCAAGGCAAGCTGACCAACAGCATATTCTTGCATGAGTGCATCCACACGTAGTCGCAATTGATAACATGGAACCAACAATCATGAGTAATTAGCCGGTTGCAAGAAGACATGGATCTAATCTACTAGGGCCGACAGTGCCTAAGAAATGTTGACTCACATTTTCACAACCTCAGAAACTCGAATCAGTAACATCGATATTGTGGTACAAATCTCCAAAATGACAACGCAAGTACTTACGAAGTTTCAATCGGTAGAGCTCCAGCCTGTCAGTGGCCTCCCTGCTTCGGCACCAGTTGAAGCGTTGCATGATCCGTCGGGAGACTCTTCGTCCGCCACACCAGCAGATGACTGCGAAACACCCATCATCCACTCGAAAGCTCGGGCTACTTTCGTTGTCGCTCAGCTATTGGGCTTGAATCTCTTCAGCAGCTTCTGCAATGGTGTCGTCGTTGTCGGCCTGCCAGCCATGGCGGCCTCCTTGCATATCGACGAGGGACTTCTTGTCTGGCCTACCTCCGTCTTCTACCTCACTGCAGGTTCATGTCTGTTACTGGCTGGTTCTATCACCGACGTGATAGGCACCAAAACTATGAGCTTGATAGGAGCCTTCGCTGCCGCCGTCTCCGCGATGGCCTGCGGTTTGGCTCAAACCGGTGGCCAATTGATTGCCTTTCGTGCCTTACAGGGTATCACGAACGCCATCATTGTTCCCTCGTCCGTCTCCATTATTTCGACTAGCTTAGAGGAGGGAAGGCCGCGCAACTTAGGTTTTGCGTGCTTGGGCTTTGCTGGTCCGATCGGATTTTCTCTTGGGCTCGTCCTTGGCGGTGTTTTTGCCGATAGCACCGGCTGGAGGGCCGCATTTTATCTTGCCGCAGCCACCACTTTCGCTTTATTCTTGGTCGGTGTTTGTACGTTGCCAAAGGCCGTTGTAAGGTCAAGAAAATCGGTTTGGTCTAGAATTCTGAAAGAAGTTGACATCATTGGTGCATTCATTGGGACTGCAAGTTTGGCGATGCTATCTTATGTTCTAGCGTACGGATCCCTCCCCGATTTACTACTCCTCAGCGTAGCTAATGCAGGGCTTCAGAATCTTATCTGCCGACATCCATAGTATTCATAAGGCATCCACCATTGTTCTTCTGGTTATTAGTGCTACCCTGATCCCTGTATTCATAGGATGGATGCAGTACCAGGAAAGACACCAGCGCAATGCACTCATCCCCAACTCGCTATGGAGAAACTGGGTGTTCACCAGTTGTTGCCTCATGGTACTACTCACCACGGCTGTGTGTAACTGCATGGAATTGTATAGCAGTTTGTTGTAAGTCGTCGGTCACTAGAACAGTCCTCTTAGGGATGTGAGTTAACCATTTCTTCAGCTTCCAGCAAGTACAGAGTCAATCGGCGCTGCATGCTTCACTGCAGATTCTCCCGTCTCTTATTTCTGGAGCACTAACCAACATATCGACCGGGATCTTTGTAAACCGTATGCCTGTCATGTGGTCTGTACTCATCTCCTCCACTCTTAGCACTGTCGCGCCACTTCTCATGGCCCTGATCAATCCCAGCTGGCCATATTGGTACGATGCTTTCTTTGCCCAGGTGAGTCATTACTCGTCAAAGATACCGTCTATTGTTAGAAACATCTTATATGGAAACAATATGTCTCTAACTACATGTAGATTCTCGCTCCATTGAGTTGCGATATTCTCTTCACAGTTGGCCTCCTCGTCGTGTCAGACGTTTTCCCCACACATATGCAGGCTTTGAGCGGAGCCGTCTTCAACACTTGCGCCCAGCTTGGAACCGCTATTGGCTTAACTGTCACTTCACTCATCGCTGCCTCTGTAACTAATGCATCTCTTAACGTCGATAAAGCCTCACCCAGTGCCCTTATGGTTGGATATCGCGCCGTCTTCTGGACTATGTTTGCCGCCATGGCACTAGTCTGTGTGCTAAGTGTACTCGGATTACGGACGATCAAACAATTGGGAGTCAAGCGAGACTGAGTTCTTACGGTAGGCTTGGAAAGCAACATAAAGCCAGTGGTATATAAGTGTGACTCGGTGACAGGACTCATTTTGTGTAGCGTGGAGAATTCATGAGTTAGACTTTATATACCCAACCGTGAACATTGTTATACAGCATATAGAAGGAACGAAAGTTGACTTTGTTTTTCGACCCTGGCAAGTAGTCGTCTATGGAACAATTCATGGTCCAAAGTCACAGTCTTTCTCCAAAGCCTCATGCCTTCGGCGAGCCTGACAATTGGATAATACCTGGACGCAGTGTCGACATCAAATCTTCAGGATCATACTTTACTTTAATCTCCAGAAGGCGTTTTCTGTTCTCCTCCCCATAACTGCGGTATACATCTTGGGGTCTGGCTGCATAGTTGAGATATTGGTAGCGGTGGAACGTGCCCTGAGCCCGAGCGGCCTTCTCAACTTTGTTCACAAACTGGTCGGCAACATCGAAGATCATCTTATCATGTTGAACGTCTGTCCATCTCCAAAGAATTGCTATAACTATTCAATCTTGTGTTAGTAAACTCTTATCTATTTGTAGAATGTTGCATTTCTGGCGTACTTATTAAAGGTGTGTCTTCCGGCTTAATCCCTAACGCATTGCCAATCTCGTCCCTTGGAAGCATAGACCCGAGCAATGGCTGGTATAATATGGAGGGCACGAAACCATCGCAATCCATTAAAAGAGCCACAGAGTCTGTATGAATGGCATCAATCTGTTCCAGCGTTGATAGATGAAATTTCACAGACAATGAAGAAGTCCGGAACCTATGAGAGGTAGTCAGCTTGTAGCACTTCAATCTCCTTGTTTCGATCACCCAAGACGCAAATACCTGAAACCTGGCTCATTTTGACTATCCATCTCGTCACAAAGATTTTTCAAGCTTCGAATTTGAGTCGTTGAGGCAAGGGGGGTGAGACTTTTAATATCGTCAAAGGCCGCGGTGTCAGATTGAGGATTGCTGTGAGACGTGATGACAGCGTACACGCTGTTACCATCCTTTGCGGCATCGGTAGCTAGCATAAAAGCTTCCGTACTAGGATCTGAGCCATCGTGTACAAACTTATTGAATGCATTGAAAACTGCAGCCTTGTTTTCATGGGCGAATACACTAGCACCACCCCATATTCGTTCAAAATTAAAGGTTCTCAACTCCATACGAGTGACGATACCAAAAGTGATACCGGCTCCTCTCATGCCCCAGAAGAGATCAGGATGCGACTTTTCGCTGACATTTAGAATTTGGCCATTGGCAAGAACAAGCTTCAAGAGGGAACTGTAAGCGATCGACAAAGGCAGCGGAGGGATGGTGGAGTCAAAACTTACCTCATAACTTATAACATTGTCACAAGCAAGCCCTCTTTCGGACGAGAAGAAAGAAATGCCACCTATTGAGTTAAGGTTAGCAACCGGACAGTGAATGCATATTTGCTTTTGAACATATTCGTACCTCCCATGATAAGTCCACTAACCCCGACACTAGAAATTCGGCCACCGACACAACCAAGTCCATGTGCCTCCAGCTTGTCGTAGATTTCGCCGAACCTACAGCCCGCACCAACGGTGACAGACTTGCGATCATCAGAGATGGTGATGTCTTTCAGACGACTCAGGTCGATAGTGATTCCGTTCTCGGCATTGGTTCCAGAAGCGTATGAGTTATGACCTCCAGATTTAACTGCAAAAGTAGCCCCAGTCTCGCGGACTATATTGAGGATTGTCGCGACATCCGCAGCATTGACGGGGAGTACGCGGCATACGGGGACGATCTGCGCAGCCTGTGCAATGAAGTAAAATGTTGTGTCAAATTGGCCTACATCTGGGAGAGCGTCATCTGGCAAGATGACCTTATCAGCACCCAGCTTCTCACGCAGTATCACAGCCTATAATTGTTAAGGTAGGTTCAATTGCAGTCTGCAGTGGTGGGAAATAGGCCGTGAGCTTACAGCTTTTCCGCTAGCGTTGATGGTGGCTGTAGAAGACATTCTTCGTTGCAAAAAGTCGGCAATGAAGAAAACAGTAAAATAAATACTATAGGCTGAAAAGAGAGCCGATTTGGATCAGGTTGCAGAGAATTTGTGTGAAGAAGAAGAAGTAAGGGTACGCCATATGATGTATGTAAATAGGCCGGTGTCGTTGTTATGTCCCCTCTTTATCTGACCTCAGCATTTCCCAGTTTACTGCATAATAAGAAGACGCTGTAAGCCAGCATAGACCTCATTTGGCAATAGTGATTATCGAGCAAAGTCCTAAGCCTAAATAGACTTTAGTTAAATACGAATTGCTGATGACGCCCTGTTTTCTGAATATACAATGGATGCTGACTGTCAGCGGCTTTGTGCGCTAACTGGCCGCTCGTCAGAATAGGAAGATGTTGCATTTCATCTCTAATCAAGGTCGTGACATAAGGGGCTGATCTTCGACTTGGTCGCCCAATTCATAGAAGAAAGCTGAGAGCATGCGAGTTGTCCATTGGAACCAGATGACGAGGATAGTCCAAGTCGAGAACCACCGTTACAACGTGGGTGTTCAAGATTGGATCTTAGATCTTCGCCAAGGACCACTGGCAAGGTTACACGTGGAACAAAAGGATCAAGCAGGCCTGCAGATGGTAGCTCAGTTATTCCTTCCTTCGGATATATCTACATCTCCAGAAGATATTTGCAGAGGTTGAAGATTTTCCACAGTGCGTGAATGCAAATCTGGAGATAAGCTCAGTGGAGCACGGCAGAGACATCTTTCAGATCCTTCCGGTGATTTCTTTCGGATCCTTCCGGTGAATTTCTTAGGAAGTCCTATTCTTTACGTCGATTTGACACGTTTGATGAAACATGCCAACTTGAAGATATTGATTCGCGAACTTATTGGGTTGCCCTACAAAAAAGCCCGGGTGACTTATATCACTTTCACCGATTGCTTGGGCGCTAACGACCAGTCAGTGAACCTCGTACGTATAGCTCATCCTGCTCGGTCCGATCTAAAATAATCGCCGTTGCTTTTAATAGAGGGTGCAGGCGTTTTCCATAAATAAGGATAGTCTATTTTCAGATAAAACGAAGGTTAGTGACAATATGCAGAGAGATATCAAAGGCTGGATATTGGGAGAAATCCGAGGGTCTTACCGGAATCTGCCTATAATGCAATACGAAAGCGCAGGATGAACACAACCAACATCATATCCTTGATGATAGCATTGCGATATCTCAAGCCCCGCACTTCTTCCAATCCTTCGCAAGAAAGTCACTTAGTCACTTCCAATTAGCCGTCATATGATTGGCTTCCAGTCGAAATGGCTGGTCGCGTTGATAAACAAACACAGCTTCAACCAGAGCGACTCTATTTCCGAGGTAATCACCAACCACAACAAATTCTTCGTTTAAAGAGAACACCTTGAGCAAATGTCCGAAGAACTTTTTGCATCACTTCCGTCCGGGTGCCGGATCTGCTATCAGGTATTCGGCAACCCATCGGATACGGCCATACTTCTCATCTCAGGCCATAGTTGTGCCATGACACAGAAAACAGATTGGATCATTGGGCCACTTAGTCCTCCAGATCATCCACATTTCATTATTCGCTTTGATCATCGAGATACAGGCCGGTCAGCCTCTTTTACCAAGCCATCAGACGGAACACCGGTATATACACTAGACGACATGGTCGAGGACATCGTAGGGCTCATTAAGCATCTCAAACTCACAAACGTGCACCTTGTTGGCACTAGTTTGGGTGGAACTCTTGCGTGGCAAACAGCTAGTCGCTTGCCGGATGTCGTTCGAAGTCTAGCCCTTGTGCTCACGAGCCCAGTTGGGAGGCAACAGATCCCTGGTGATGACCTGCCTCGGGTACACCTGGAGGGGCAGTGGCTGTTAGCCGAAGCGTATGAGATTCCAGATAACAAAGATGACGATGAAGGCTGGATCCAATCATATATGCGACTTGATCTTGCTCTAGCAACTCAGCCGCCAACGGAGGAGGAAAAAGCGGAATCGAGAAGGGAGTCTGAGATTACATACTACCGCGAGAAAGAGAGTGGGACTATGTGGACCAAGTATAACCACTCTGATGCGTCGGGTGTGAGGTGGCCGCGCGAGTTACTCAAACAGATCCGATGTCCGACAGTTGTTATTCACGCCGCAAAGGACCAGATTTTCCCGCTTAAGCACGCCGAGGCTCTAAGAGATGATGTTGAAGGCGCAACGCTTGTCATTATCGAAGGCTGCGGGCATGAGATACCACATCGAGTTCGCCAACAGATGGTGGATGCGATTCTCGCCAACGTGAAGAAGGGAGAATAGAGAGACTTATTCCTGTGTAATAGGCACTGCTGGCCTGAGCACAGAACTGTTATAGATATTCTATGCACAACTGGACGTGTAGATATAATGTTCAGAAATAAAACAGGCTAGGAATCTGCTTCAACAGATTGGTGGAAACCAAGTCCAAGTTTCAGGCTCCTGCGCTCGCACTGCGTGCTGCATGATAGCCATTCAGCATCATAATTTCATAGTGCTTATATTTCTCTGTAAATCAGAGTTAAAATAAAGTATAAGCTGTAGGAAGCCGCTTAACCCGTACGTTTAGTACTGTTGTACCATGTGTAACACTGCCGATCCATTGAACGGCGATCGACATACGACTCACAACTCCGCGGTCACCAATACCGTCTCTGGATGCATCTTCGTCACGCTGATCTTTCTCTCTGTCATTAAGCTCATTCATAATTGGACACATTGAAGAGATCCAGTCTTTATAGGCAGCTTATATTGGCCGGGAGTCAGCGAATCAAGACAATCACCGTAAGACTTAGGCCTCCAAAAGGCCAAAGTACTCATAAGACACACTTTGCAACGGTGGCATGTGAAATAACCACCCTACTCAGCAATGACTATTAACAACTAGTTGACAAGAGGGATCGCCGGATGTGGTAGCAGCCCTCCTAATGGTGGTTCGCAACCTTAGTAGAGGACGCTACATGCATGTTTGGTGGTGGTGGTGGTGGCGAACAGCTGTGTGTACCTACAGGCATGGAACGAAAACTCACCAGCCATCGTCACCAAGTTTTAAACATCGGTTCTCAATTGAATCAGTATACCAAGCAACGGGCTCCAGAGGCTTGGCTTCTTTCATGCTGTCAAAGTATTGTGGTTCCCCTCTTCGCTGTTCGTTGGGCCTCTCCCCCAGTCTCCAAAGTCAGCCACATTCCAGCCTTTGTAGGCCTCCCACATATTGACCACTGGCCTTTAATGCGACCGACAGAATTCCCTTGCATCAGCTCGCAATAGCGCCAGCCAAGGCGTTTTTGATTGAATCCATGATGGTAAAGTTACTGCCTCGCAGGCACGTGCATGCACACAGCCGCATCGGCTAAGTGAATAAAAGTCATAAGGCTGCCTAGTTCTTCTCCCAAGTGCAACTCATCAACCCACGAATTTGGCCTTTCTATTTCTCTCTTTCAAACATTTTACTTCTATACTACTCTAGAGCTATTGAACCAAAGCAATATGGACTTCTTGTGCTGTCTCTGCGATAATGATCGCGCACCAGCTCTTTCGCCGCATCACACCTACGGCGTGATCACCGAGAAACCATCGCCTTATCCTCCAATCCATCGCACCGTTGAGGAAACTGCTGAAAATATTATCGACATTCTCCTTGCTGCAGAGAAGTCTGGACCGCTGCTGTCGGCGAAACTTGATGACGCCGTCTTCGCCACTGGATGGTCTGAATGGCTTGCGAAAAACATCCTGAAGAAATTGGAGGAGGTGCTGAGGGATGGCCGCGAGAAGATGGGCCCGGCTATGGCTGAAGCCTACGACCAAGCAAGCAAGGCTGCTGAAATAACGTTCAGCGACTTATTCGAATACGTTAAGGAACATCCCGTTGAGATTGCAGCCACGGTGTTGCTCTCCCTCCTTGCGTTTGGAGTCCTGGTGCGATTGATGCCGGTAGCCCTGGAGCTTTTAGGTTTCGGCGAACTTGGGCCAACTGCTGGTAAGTTCTATGGTCTATTAGATTGAGCATATTTCTTACTTTTCTTCATCTTACCAGGTTCTTTTGCCTCTTGGTGGCAATCTACATACGGAGGATACGTTCCAGCAGAATCGCTTTTTTCCTTTTTCCAGAGATTAGGCATGATTTGGGCGAAGGTTCAGTAGCATTCAAATTTGATACGACGGACCCTTTTTTTTTTTGTTTCGTGAATCAGCATGGCGGTATTCGGGTGCTTTTTCTTTCATAACACTAACACAAATATCGATATGTGTGCACACTTTTTATCTTCTGCTTAGGTACCACATTGATTAGAGTCTCCGTACTCACGTCATTCATTTATACTATCGAACATGATATTCCAAGACTCGACTTCCCCCTCCTTAGCCACCTAAGACCTAGCATGTTTCTCTGTGATAATGATCCCATCTCTTTGTCAGTATGGAATGCTCTAATATCTGCATTCCCGATCTACCTTAATTGGTTTCATGATTGAAGATAATAACCTTGAAAATGTTTCATCAGTTTATGTTCTCCTATGGATACTCGATTTCGCTAGGTAATGACTCAGCTAACAATATCAGGAAGTCCAGGCGCGGATGCATTGTAATATGCCTTTGAAGAGGCCTGACTTTTGAGAAGTAGAATGGAAGTGTAGGTTAGGGTAGCCCAAACACCGTGAGCCCCTACACGAACGCAGGGGCATGTTCCCTCCCAGATTGTCGTTCAGAGGCCCGCTGCTTCCAACACCTGAAAAAGAGCGGAAAGGAGCTCTCACTACTACTACAACAGACCAATTATCGCTCATTCTCAGACAATTGCATCATCTAAGCGCTGGCCCAGTTGCTGGCCTTGATGGATCTCGAGAGTGGGTGGGTGTACACTAATGCGACCGCGGTTATGGCCCGTCGCGACTGATCGAAAATAGCATCCTACACGGCCTGTTAGCCGAAGCCGCCTATTGAAGATACGACATACCTGGTCTGGATAATCCATGGCGTCCGCGTGGCTGATGCGCAGTAGCGTGTTGCATCTCGCGTGGGTCTTTTCTTCTCGGGGGCTCAGCTCGAACTGCACGACCAACAACATTTCCCAGAGAGCACGAAAAACCGGCTTTCTGTAACGTTTGGCGGTCTTGTTGGCTGCGGCCGAAGCTACAGCCTGGGAGGGCGTGTTAAGGCCTCCAGCTGTTCTATCTTATCATCATAGCTCTAAGAAATACGTGGCTTTGAAGCACAATCACGAGAGGTGCGTGATGCTTCGAATGGCACTGAGAATAGAGAACGACGGGGACGGCATCGCACGCGGACGAGTCAGGGGTGGAAATTAAATATCACTCCCCGTGGGGAGATCCAGAGATCATCACAATCTGCTGAGCCGGGCAATGACAAAGATATCATGCACATTGTATGACGCTCTCTATAGGACGAAAGAAGATTAGTTAGCTTCTGGGAATTGGGTTGCCAGACAAGAAGTATGGCACGACACCTATCAAGTGCGCGATGTTGACTATGTACTCAGTTCAAAACTTCTTGTTACTTCATAGTTGAGAGACAGCCAACTACGCTGTATTCAGGCCGCTAATCGCCGATGGGTTGCCGCTTTGAATACGGGGCATCCGTTCCCCCGGGATTCAGGGGTGGCATGGATTGCATGTCCTACTTTCAGCTGTCGAAAAATGAGCTGCCTAATTGGATTAGTGACATCGAAGATATGCATGTTGGTTGCAAAAACAGCCCATCTTCTATCAATTCTGCCCGCCGAGAGACAGGGCTCGTGATCATGTTGCAGAAAAGAAGAACCAACATGCATAATGACAGTTTCGTCAAGCGCCTCATCCACCTTCACAGCCTCACCCACTCAGGCATTAATAGTTGATGATTTTCATCAAATCGAAGGAATGAAATAGATTTACCTATGTATCAAAAGACAATCACCAAGAAAATAACTTCTACAACATCAAACCAAAAATGTCTTCTAGAAATCTGAGGCAAAATCCTGTCTTCCAGGAGCTTGCGGTCATACAACGATATACCGATGTATGTCCGAATCCTCAAGACTCTGATTTCGAAACCTGTCGAGCAAAGAGAGTTGATGGCGGGAGGTGCAGAAACCCTCCATGCAGACGAGAGGAGCGATGGCACGTTCACAGTCTGCTGCCTGAATTCCGCGAGATGTCGGAATTCCCTGATACTGAGAGTTTCTACGATAAGATGGAAACATTCATCACCTACTCGCATTGTAAGAGGTGGCATCGGCAAAGAGCCCTCGATGCATTCGCCGAGTGGAAGAGAGACCGGATAGCCAATAAATCCACCTCAAGACAACGTCCAACGCCGATTACACGGCAAAGAGTTTCATCGACCTTGAGTACACCATCGGTACAATCCATCGGCACATCCACTATACAACCAATAACTGCGGCCGCACTACAACTTGTACCCTCAGTGCCTACGCGATTCGTACCTTCATCAGCTAGTGCGACATCAGATGATGGCAGCTCTTTTGTCGACAGCATTGCAGAGTCTCGTTCTGTCAGCAGCAACACAACCTTCATGAGCTCTCTCCCCAATACTCCTCAGCGTAATGGGGCAATCTCCAGATTTAACATCGAGGATGTTGCTGAGGAAGAATCCGTTACCGAAGCTATTCCCGAGGTTGACATTGTCATCGAAGACGCTGTTTATGAAGAAGTTGCTGCTGTTGTCCAAGAAGTTGTTGTCAAAGAAGAGACTGTGAGAGACAATATCATCTTTCCAGATATCAGGCAAGAGGATGATACCAAGATATCTATTGGCCTAAACATTACCATTTCGGAGAGAGAAGAGAGTCATGAAAGAGACCACAATGTCATTAAAGGGCTTGGGATTACTGGTATTCAACGCAGTGGATCGATACGAGACCACTCGCCGGTTTTCCAAGTGATCAGCTGCCATCCCACACCAGAGAAGATGAAAGAAGGCGTTGTATACATCCTTGAACATCAGGAAAACCCTTCACTCTTTAAGATTGGGTGGTCGAGTAAGAGCGCTGAGGAGAGATCGCATCAACCCAACAACTGCTATGGAATCAACACAAAGATTATTTATGAGACAAAAAGATTCATCGGTGCTCCTCAGGCTGAGCGGATCGCGCAAGTCATACTACGGCATGCCAATATTCGTGTTTTAGAATGCTTTAATTGCCAAGGGGGGCATAGAGAGTGGTTCATTGCACCCAGAGAAACAGTACGTGAAACGGTAATGCACGTCGAAGAGTTTCTCCAGATGCCCGCATACACTCTGCAAAATGGAGAGTACAAGCTATCACCAGAAGCATATGATCGTGTTGTCAAGCAGATGTGCAACTTCTCAGTGACACGATTGGGTGAGCTTATGCGCGGGCCTAAAGAAGGTCACGAGGAGACTGAGACCATAGTCGACACGTCGATTGACACCATACTGACACCTTTGGCTCAAATTACCGACGAACCAGAGGAAATATCTCGCCCCAATACAAGCAATGGGCTTTCAGAGATACAAGAAGTCAACAAAAGCCTCGTTTCTATTTCCTCGCATGAAACCCAGTCTCAGAAATTGTCCGCAGGGGTAAAATTGGCAAGGAAAGTGAAGCGCCTCTTCTCAGTCGGTGATTCGGTCAAGACATATCTTCTGCGACCTCGAGGGTCAAAGCTTCAGCCGGACGGCGATTCTAAACGCCCATTCGGTTCTCGCTTTGTGGACCTGAAAGACAAAGCGCGTGACGCAGGCACAAAAGTACGACATGATGCTCGCGAATTTCGAAGAGATTTTAGAGAGGAATTGCACCGCAAGAGTGAGGAGCAGACAGTGTGACTTTCACTTTCAGGATCTAGATTGCATGGAAAGGCAGAAGTGAATCGTGCGTCAAACTTTTGGGAGGATATTTAAGCATTAATACCCTTTTAAGTTTGCATATAGATAATGGTAGTTCGCAATTCTCTCATATTCGTGCAGCCATTTCATTACATATGATAATTACCCACGGTGTTTTGTCCTTTGAAGTGTGGCATGCCACGAGACTAGAATTCCTCTTTGGCCAGTCTCCCAACCTTCAACGGTGCGTTTACCAAGTTCGTCTGGCCTCTTTAGCAGCCTCCATTTACGTAATCTGTGTGATCGATTAGGTCGTATTTGAGTCTGCTCTTACTCTAAGCTGTGCAAGTAGTCCATCATTGAATTCCGGTGTTGTCCGCTAAAAGAGGGGATATCGTCGGGGGTTTGCATATTTTCGTATGCTCCCGCCTGCAGCAGCAATTTTACTATGCTTCTATGCGCCCCCCGTTTAAGATTGTCGAAGAATACTTCCGGAAGTTCCATGTAAGGCTCAGAGCGTGCGTCCACCTTTGCGTCAAAGAGCAGGTCCATGGCTGTAGCATAGAGGTAATGGCCATTAGATGCAAGCATTAAAGTTAAGGCGCCAGCGTCTGCCTGACTCTTCGCGTCTGCTCCGGCCTCAAGTAACAGTTTCACTACTTCTGCATGGCCTATGAAAGAGGCATACAATAATACTGATGCGCCAGCATCTGTCTGAGCATTTATATCTGCTCGGGCATCAAGTAGAAGTTTCGCTTTGCCGCATTGCCAGTAATAGAGGCGTGTATTAAAGACGAGAAGCCAGCGTTTTTTCGAGCATCCGAATCTGCTCCCGCGCCCAGTAAGGATTCGACTGCTGCCTCTTGACTATATATAGCCGCAAATAAAGCTGGATCGCGATGGCGGTCCTTGGCATTCGGGTTTGCCCCCGCCTCAAGCAACTTCTTCACTATTGCCTCATAAGATGTGCGAGTAGCGAGTATTAGAATCGTTTCGTGGAAGTTGTTCCGCGCCTCGAGGTTGGCTCTACCTGTCTTGATCAATTGCATCACAACTTCTTCATGTCCATTGTCTAGTGCAGAGAACAGTAGTGTGTTAATATCATTCTCAACATCAATCGGCCTTTGCTTCTTGACAAATAGATCAATTATTTCGCGATCTGAATTGCAAAAAGCGTAGAATAATGGTGTTTTGCCCAGTCTGTCCTTCAAGTGCACGTTTGCACCCGCTTTCAATAGCAACTTGACAAGAGCGACATCCCCATTCCAAATGGCATATGTCAATGGGGTTCGACCATAACTGTCTTGCAGGTCGATCTTAGCTGCTTTCCTGAGTGGTAATTTCAAATTCCCTAGCTTTTTTCGAGGGCCACTAATGAGCAGCTCAGCAACCATCCGAAAGCCATTCCTTACAGCCCAGCATAGCGCCGACCGTTCGTATGTCTTATCTTGGGCGTTCAAGTCGACATCCATATCAAGCAAGCTCTGAACTGCAAAATTGAGTCCAAAATAGGATGCTATCATAAGAGTAGTGAATCCTCGAGGGTAGTATGTCTGCATGGTGGACCAATGAACATCAAACCACGTCTTGCAGCAAAACGAATTCCCGTCGCAGATTGTCAGGATTGACTTTGTCAACATTGACTGTGCTTCACAATCCATCTCACGGAAGTGTGAAACCCAATATTTTGCGGAGTAGTCAAGAAAGGCTCTCCACGCATGCGACCTTGATTCGTACAAGATCTGTGATCCCGCAAGTAAATGCCAAATGCAAATTTTTGCGAGAGTAATATGAGATTCTTGTGGCTGTATTGAATACTTCCATTCATAGTCATCAGATTCACTCTGCAAGGTCTGCGTCACACTCCTCTTGACTAAGAATTCCTTCACAGTCTGGTGAAGTAGATAAACCTTTGAGTCAACGATGACGATACAGAGACCACAGATATTCCGTAGATTTTCGCGGAAACGATCATCAGGCACAAGCCCCATATCAGGGTGCGGCTGGCGGGTTTCACTTGACGCCAGCGCAAAATTCATTTCTTTGACAGTTAAGGGTCGTGCAGCTGCTACAATAATATGGAGTATTATCCTAGCTTGCCTAGTATTGGAGCTTCTAGAAAGTATTCTCTCATAGGCCTCGTCGATTGTTTTAGATATGTTCGAAGTAGCCTCAAGTATCATCTTTTCAGTGACATTGATGCTACTCTCGATCAGATCCAGAGTAAGATATACCCACAAATAGGTCCTATTAGGGACGTGCATAAGTCTTTGCAACAGAAGACCGCATTCGTTTTGTGTCAGCTGTAGTCTCTGACCTATGTCTTGAACTCTGGCGCCGATATAGACATTAATCTCTTGAGAAATCTTCTTCATCTCATCTTCGCTTTCTCCGCTCAAGTGAATTACCGGTAACCCCGGAATATCTAGAGGCTCAAGACCACGATGGATTTCCACGTAAGGCCGACTGGTGATGAGGAACTTAACATTAAAGCTCCTTTCAGTACCGTACAGCGCGCATAGCGCTTTGAGAAGCTGGGACCTCCCCTGGTCACTCTGATCTTCACACTCGTCGATTGCGTCGAGAAGACAGACAATTTCGCCTGCATTCTCGTCCTGCACTACCTGAAGAAATATCTGCCAAAGTTCGCTGAATGAGGCGTTGAATGTTTCCCCACCAGTATTGAACCTTTTCAAAATTGCCTCAGATAGCAAGGAGGGTTTTTGTACAAAAATCTGACGAAGTATGCAGCAGAGCGCGCTGGCCACATTCTTTTGATCTGGGAAGTCATCCTTAAAGAAGAAATAGCACACGGTTCTGGACGCCGTAGTCGGTGAACAACAGAGTCGACCAAGTGTCTCATTAATACCGACTTTCCGCATCCAGGATCAGCCGACACCCAAAGCATGCTTGACGAGCTGCTCTTGTTCCAAGTCTGAAAGTGTTCGTGCGACACAAACCAGTCGCATGTGCCCTGCACTCGCTGCCGATTTCGGTCTTTTCGGTCTTTGTATGGCGATTTATAGAGGCATTTTAGAACGTTGTCCACTTGTCCCGGCGGAGTTTCTGCGTTGGTGCTGGCGTAGTGATTGTAGTTCACATTGCCCTGAATGATATAATTCTCATTCCCAAAAGTATTTGAAGAGATCGTACGATTTTCTTCCATTATATAGATATCAAGGCTAGTATGTATGACAGAAGATCGCGGTATTGCCCGTCAGGTCTTATAACTGACGATAAGCACGCAACGGAGAAACAAACAAAATTATGGTAAAAAGGATGTTGCGATAAACGCCTTTTGGTCTATCTTCGTAACGCTCTCAAAGAAACAATCCCTGAAGACTGGTCTTGTGGTTTATATTGTTGGTATGATGTGAGATTAGAGCCTAATCGCGCATGCGTCTGGGAGTAGACGATCTGGCACGAAGCAAACATGACTAAGCTCTCATGGTAAGAAACTAGAGCCAATTGTCATAGAGCTCCAGTCGCGATGCATCTATTACTGGTTCTTAAACTCTTAAATTGCAAGGCTGTGATGGCACATGGAAACCAACCTTCCGCCACGAGTATAGCAGAGTACATGGATGTAGAGGTTTGCACGATTTGCAGTGTAATATTAATGAACAGTATTCTCAAACAATTGTAAAGCACCTAATACAAGCAACTAAAAAAGCCCAGATAACTAAAGGCAAAACATCGCTCCTCTATTGGTCGGCTTCAATTTCCCATTCTCCTCTTCCTTCAGCTTGCCTACCTTTGGTTCCCACAACAGATCGCGCTCTGGTCAATTTGGATTGCTCTCTCGTTTTCCGCAAAATAACCCTTTTCGGCGTCTCTAGCTTCCTCTCTCATCGGTTTTACTGACCTGCTCTCATTGTTCAAGGAACCGCTCCTCCCCTTGCTCTCTGTGTCTCTCTGCGAAGTCCCGTATCGTTGAGCTTCTGCCTCAGCGGTTACTTACCGGCTTATACCCTCTTGCCAGCATCGCATTCATGGTAATCTTCATCTTGTTTATCTCTGCTTTGAGACTTGCTAGCTGGTTTTCCTGCATATCGATCACGTCTTTAAATTTTTTGGAAGCCGCTTCGTGTTTAATTCGGCGAGCCGAAGGGCTCGATGGGCTCTCCATTCGCTTCTCATATTCTATAACCCTATGGCGAGCCACCTCATTCTGGATGTTAATGCGCAAGTGTCCCTTGATTTCTTTTTTCCTCTCGCGGAACCTGTGTATCGCAAAGTCTAGATCCATATATACCTCACGATCGTAAGCCGAGCGCTGTGCAGGATCAGTCAGGGTAGAATGGGCGGCCTGAATCTTAAACCACATAAAAAGTCAGTATAAATCTTTTCACATTGCAGCTGATAAGGGCTTACAGATTGGAAAAAAGCCGTGGCGTTGGGATTGTTTGGATCTTTGTCCGGATGATGCGCCAAGGCGAGGCGTTTGTAGCTCGTCCGGATCTCATCAGTCTCTGCCCATACTGGTACTTTGAGGATGTCGTAATAATTGGGTCTGGCTTCGTGGACATTCATTGTGATGTAATGAAGTGGTTGAATAGATTTTGGATTATGGATAGATAAGAGATGCCGATATTGATCGTAGCTCGAAACGCAAATGGATTTAGGGCCAAAAGTCGTGGGATTGATGTTGTCATGCTGAGCTCTGATGGTTAGGATGGTATTTATATGTAATGCCTCTATATTAAAGAGAGGCCGTTCGGTAGCTTAGAATAATGTTCACTTAAAACAATGATGCTAAAAAAGTCATTCGTTCAAAACCCGGCACCGCAACGGCACTTCATAGTATGATGCACTCCAGCTAACAGCTGTCAGATTGATTGCAAATGAACATTCTCTAAGAGCGTCATTGTTCAATAAACTGAGAAAGTTGGTTCACCAGAAAGCTGCATCAGCCCCAAGATCAAATTCTCGTTCAGTCAAGAATTTTACTCGCAGATCTGTAGTTGATCAAATATTAAAGGAATGCAAGTCATGCTTGATCCATGATTGAACCCGACAGATAAACTTACATGAATAATCCCGGCAGGTCAGATGCATCTCAAAACTAGGCAAAACACCAGCGGACTGAAGTCCCCACTCCGGAGGTTTAACGCAGTTTAACAGCTAGCTGTATTTCAAGAATGTTCAACCATAGCCTACCCGAGAAGCAATGTTCCATGAGTGTGTCATAAATCCAAATAATACTTCCCGCTCTGTCGACAATTGTGTAAATTTGAAATATTAGGTTCACTGAACTCTAAGAAGCAGTGGCTAATCTTGGAATATATAATGCCTTTCTTTTAAAATCAGGTACAGAACTGCTCGGCTGCTGGATGAATTCTGGAGTATTGAATTCTATAATTAGGCTGCCTTTGTTCACTTCTTGCGATTTTCTCTAATACTCAATACTCTTTTGTTTAAAAGTATTGTTGCTTAATTGTTTGTGTTCTTTGTTTTTCACCGGTTTTCTGAACCATTCATTGTTTAAATATATCCCTACTGAACTCATGAACTACCCGACACAACCTTCTTCAACAGCATTTATCGCAGTTACCTGAGATGTTTGATGCCGAAGTAAGGATGTACAGTCGCGTTCTCCAATCTTGCTATCATAAAGGCTGTGTGATTGGACAGTAGGGGCTGCTTTAATTCCGCGATCTTGACGAACACATAGAGTATTGGGGATCTAGATGAACGATACAGTCGGATGCCTGCTAAGGCGTTCATAGGGGCAAGCAAAGCTGCGTTCGATCGTCATCTAATCCAATCGCTGCCTTCCCTCTACTCTGCGATATCCTGACCTCTTGTCTAAGGATCAGAAACCCTACGTTCGTACTTACTGAACGTACGCTTCGTAACTGTTATACCATACCACCTCTCCGTCTCCGCGATTTCTTATTAGGCTCGGAGAAGCAGGACGGGTATTGGTTTCAGACAGTCAGAGAACCTGGATTTGTAAGATTTTATGATAGCTTACAAAGTCTGTAGAACAATTAATCGGCCTCATACACGGCTATCAGGCAACTTGAGACAGTGATCGCTAAATGAAAATACCATTCGTTGTGGGGCTGGAGTCGTGCGGATCATCCGCACCCTTGCGGGGCTGAGCATCGCGCATATCCATCCGTTATTTGAACCATGGGCGGTGCGGGAGTTCCGCAGCCCAGCAGCGCCGTGAGGAATACCGGGTCATGGTGAAGATTAAAACAATTGGACGGAAGTGATCCAAATATATATAGGTCAACATTGCCCTTCTGTCAAGGGACACAAACCACACTTATTCTCAACATATTTCACTTATTAAAAAGTAAAGAAAATGACGGCTTTCCCTTGCGACTTCATTAAAGTAAAGCAGGTCACACCTGCCTACTGGCGGGCAACTTTTTCAGATCCACCATTGAACTTGATGAATGACCGCTTCTTTTGCGACCTGGCAAAGCTCCTTGACGCTATTGAAGCCTCGCGAGATCTCAAGGTTGTTGTCTTTGATTCATCTGTCTCTGACTTCTGGATCGCACATTACGATGCTCTTGGGTCTAGGTATCCATGGGCGGAGGACGGTTGGTGGTGGAAGAGCCTCCTTCGTCTCGTCCACGCTCCCGTACTCACGGTTGCTTCCATACGCGGCCGAGCTCGAGGCGGAGGTAGCGAGCTTGCCCTTGCTCTCGATGTTCGATTCGGTAGCCGTGAGCACGCCATTATTTCGCAGTTCGAAATTACGACGGGCACGTTGCCAGCTGGAGGTGCATTAGAGTGGCTTCCGACTCAAATTGGGAGATCTCGAGCCCTGGAGGTAGCAATAGGGGGGCAAGACTTTCCCGCGGAACTGGCAGAACGATACGGGCTTCTGAATCGCGCCGTGCCAGATAGCGAGTTTGATAACTTCGTCGATGCCTTTGCTCGAAGAGTGGCTTTGTTTGATAAGGCCTCTATCACCGCGATCAAGAAGTTGGTTAACAAACGGTCAGGACTAAGGACAGCAGAAGACTAGCTCGAGAGTTTCAACGCATTTACGGAGCGTCTTGCGGACCCTGCTGTCAGGGAACACGTACAGAAGGCTTCCGTGCTTGGGTTTTCGCGTGATGTAGACTTCGAGCTCAACCTACCGGACAATTTGACTCGAGTTTATGAGCAGTAAAGCCTTGGTTAGGCAGTCCATAGCCGTACCATAATTCATCATCAGAGAAATCGATGCGTTATTAACGAATTTGGCTTAATTCAATGTGATAGCTCCTTCTGAGTAACCCATCTCGTATCTCTCGATTAGAGATAAGTAAGTTGCTGAAGTTGTTTAGCCAGATTACAGAAGCGCAGGAGCGGGTATTGAACGAACCAGCCGCTCTCCATCGTCTGTTCATGAGCTTCAATGCCAGTTTTATCATTGTTAGTTGCGAGTCTATGTGGGACTTCTGAATGGAGCCATTCATATTCTGAACCGTAAGAAGGGCTACGGCACTTTGGTAGAGAGTGTGCAAGCCGAACGGAGCCAAATGAGCGACGTTGGTTTGGGAATCTTGAAGCCAGCGAGACAGTATCTGTACAACCTGCTGCTGCATCAAGTCCACATTATTAGTTACGTCGGCGGTAAACCGGTACTGTGCGGAGCCTCCAGGCCCCGAAGCATGCCCATGATCAAAACCGTAATGGGCTTCTAGAATGAACAATGCGCTTTGCTGCTTTCAGTAACCCGACCTCATGGTGAAATGAACGCTGGAGAATACCTGTAACATAACGATTTCTGAGCACAAAAATCATAATTCTGAGCACCTGTTGCAACGTCTGAAAGTCGAAGCAATGCGCTAAGAGTGCGCCGAAGTTGCTGCGCTTCATCGTCTTGGAGAGACCCCGGCGCAACTACCTCAGATCGCGACACGTTTCGAATGACGCAGCCTAAAAGATAAGCCCCTTGAGCCAAAATAGCAAATCGCCCAGGTTTTTCTTCATGTATGGGTGACAGTGCCGAGCAGTGGTTTTCATTTTCAGACTGAAAACATCAGTTGCGGTCAGTCTCACGGTACTTGTAATAATCACCTGATTATCCCATACGTCATCGTCGGTAGGAAGATTGTCCCAAATACTTGGTTCTGGCGTTAATAGAACATGATCGGGGTATCCCAGACGGATAAAACTTAACATGAGTTGGTTAGCCATCCAATGCAGCTATGGTCATTGTACACGGGCTGAAGGGAAATAGACCAAATGTACGCTTACCGTTCAAGGACCAAAATAGCCCACCAGGTACGGCGTCTCTGCTCAATCTCATCAAGCGAGAACGTTGGTTCAGCTTGAAAAGAAGTACTGTGTAGACCAAGCGCGATACCGTACTTTGCACAATATCCTGTCGCAAGATATGCTGCAGGATAAATCGCATAGCCTAGTTCGTAGTAGGCCAATAATACTCTGGCTTGCAATGCTTGCAGAGAGAAGTTACCCATGTCTTCGAGTTCATTGCTCAGTCTCCTGGTGGCCAAGTAAAGTGAACTTCTCGGCTCAAAGCTTTCACCATCGGCCGAAGTCGTCAGCAACTTCATGCAGCATAGAAGTAGGACTATCTCAGGTTGACAGGCGGCCGGGAAGGAAATAAGGTATTCGTGGAAGTATCTTTTTGATACAATCGGTAGCCAGCCGTGCACAGTTCGAAAAAAACTCAGATGTGAAAGAGCGAATAGAATCTTCAGTCCCCAGCAGACGCCTTTGTTTGGCAAACTCTACGGCAGGCAATGGATGAACAGTTATGCGGTCCCTTATAGCACCATATGATCTGCACCCTAGGAAGCGCGCTGCCAATGTTAAGTCATTACGATGGATTGGGATCTTCGACACTTCAGGCCGAGAGTCTGAGTCTGAGTCTGCAGTTGGTTGTTGTTCTAGCGGAAGTACGATTGGACGTTTTCGACGCCACCGTGCTCGAGAGCTTCTGTGATTGTAAACACACTCTATATGTTTCCTACCTTATATTATTGAGCATCAATTGACTCTTATACGATATAAATTCTCAAGTAATGTATGGTATCCCGTACCTAGAGCACAGCTGACAACCTGGAAGTTGCCTGTCACACCTCCGCTTCCCTATTCGGCAGGCTGAACATGCAAATAACGCAAAGCCCGAAGCATTTGAGCTTTCCGGTAGGGTACTCAACAAAGGCGATGTCGGATTCATCGAAAAGTCAGGAGTAGTTGCGGCATTCATCTTATGCGCGATTGTCTTAAGCTTATGCGAAGCTTTGGGCACGAAATGTAATTCTTATGAATGCGAACCATTCAAGTTGAGGCTTGCTTCAGGCAAGTAGCGCGTAGGAGAAGCTTGCGCATTACAAATCATGGACGCAAAACAGCTAGGCAGGTCTACAGTTTGTTTGATCTTGATTTGATGATTATTGCGTTAGCTGATTACCAATGGCGCTTCTAAAGAAGCTAGGCTTGCTCATGCATCACCAGAGATGACGGTGGAGAGTCACCCTCTGAATGATGTGGGCTTCTTACAAATAGGTGATTTGTAACACTAGAATAGCGCCAAGATGGGCACTTTCCTAAAACGATTGGAACAGGAGACGACAGCCGGATATTAGGTTTCTGGAAATTGAGAATGATGAGTGTTATGGTAAAATAGGTTTGGTGGAGTCTCTGGATGGGCTTGTTTGGATTGGCGACAACTCAATAGGATTGGCAATATACTTGAGGGTTCATAGACAGCAAAACAAGACCAAGGGAGTATATATACATCATGATATCAGCATCAAAAGACTCAGTTCCAATTGAGGTATACAATACTTCCATAATTAGTCAACATGGCTGTCTTAAAAACTCACCTGAAAATTTCCTTCTTCTTGTCTCTCACTTACTTCTGGCTTGGTTTCGTTGAAGCCCAGATCTTGAAGCAATCATGCATAAATGAGGTGTGCAGTGCCAAACGTGTCACCATCTCCAACCCTCCCATCAATCTCTGGGATGCCAATGTCATCACTGCGTTCAACGAGTTCATGGTCAGCCTACAAGATCAGAACGAAACCAAAGTTGTCGTTTTCGATAGCGACAACTCCGACTTCTGGGCCTCTAACCTTGACATTAATTTACTCACGCAGCTTGGGATTCCTGGACGCAATGGTACTGCTCTCATAGACACATATTTTGCAAATTTGGATCTCCTCTTAAGTACTCCGGTCATCTTTATTGGAGAGATCAATGGTCGAGCCTGGGGTGCTGGGGACGAACACTTGTTGAGAATGGATATGAGATTTGCTGGACCAGAGGCACAATTCGGCGCGCCCGAGGCAGCTATCGGAGTGATTCATGTCGGTGGATTTCAACAGTTGGTTAAACTCATTGGTCCTGGACGCGCTGCAGAATACATGCTTGCCGCTGCACAGGTCAGCGCTTCCGAAGCAGCTCGCGTTGGTTGGGTCAACTCTGTCCATCCTACAGCCAACGCTCTTCGAAAACATGTCAATGACATTGCGGCAAGGATTGCACTCTTCCCTATCGAGACTCTTCGAGCGACAAAAGCCAGTATTGCGGAACAGGCTCCTCCTAGGGCAGCCTTTGAAAACGATCTTGCTCGATTTAATCAGCTGGCAGCACTACCGCAGGTGGCAGCAAATGTGGGCGCCGTTCTGCAGGTATCCAAGAACGAATCCAAGGCTTTCGAGGAGAATCTGAACAATAATATTGTGAAAAAGCTTTACCAAGTACCTAACTAAGGTACAAAGGCGTAATATATAGCAAACTTAATTATTTAATAAATAATTAGATGTTCTAAATATGAGTGGCTGCTCTCAGGTTTTGATTTACCGAAGATTGCCTTGTGAAGGGAGTCTCCTCTTTCCCCACGTGATATACCATATATCCAACACTCTCCTACCATAGTCATGCTATGCGTGTTGAGTGTTGGGGTTTCTGTCTGCCCGCTCACAGTCGCATGAGTTTCAGCCTCGGCATCCGTCCAAGGTCTCATGACAAAGGGAGCATCACAGCCATTGACTTTGAACGTCAAATCCCCCGTAGTAGCCGCTTCAGGAGCCAAGCCGATAAGCCCTGTATCCGTGATAAAGAATCTCCGTCCGTCACAAGCACTAAATATCTTTTCCGCTTGTATACGATAGCTTGAAGGTAATTTTTTAGGGTAATCCTCAAAGCGCTTATGGTTTCCTTCTGTTTCAATAGCATCATTGCTTTCGTCTAAGGTAGTCAGAGTTTCAACAGCTTCGTGGACGACGTCTGCATACACAATGTAACCTGCTGCCAAGGTCTCCGCAAACGGGGATAGCTCATAGCGTTGCCGCCAAAAACCCGGTTGGCGGTCAGTGAGATCTGGAGGCATAGTTGGCATTTGATGCCACCATTTCGGGCCGGAGCCAAGCTTCGTCCATTGTTTCAGGGGGAAGATGTCCCGACGGATATCACAAACATCCCCAATGAAGGTGATAGTGCCGATTTTCGAGGCGCTGACTCGTAGCTGCTCCTTTGGCTCTTTGTCGACTAGGAAAAAACGAGAAACGCTCCACATGGCCGAATTTTCAACAGTCGAAGCATCTTGAGGCTTGAATGGTGCTAATGGCCGCTGGAGCTGGTACGGCGACTTTGTGATAGCTTCCCAATCTATAACCCAAGATGGGAGCTTCTCCACATGACCTAGAGCTAGGCCGATTTGTAGCGCTTGGAGTCCAAAGTGCTCAAGTAGGATGATTGTAAGATTTGTATAGACCTGCTGAACAGACATCGTATAGTCTGCTTGGATGAATAATGCTTGACGCAGTTTGTCAGCATCTAACCCATCCAAGCCCTTGTTTTCAGCTTGGTTCTGATTCGCTTCAAGCTCTCTGGTCATCCTCTCATGTTCCCACTTCAGCAAAGGGAGCATCGCGTACACCTTATCCCTCGCATCTGTTGCCTGACAGTCTTTCGTATTCTTGAGAAGTCCATACAGACGATGATTGTAGTGAATGAAGTCGGTTCTGCTACGAGATCTTTGGACAGTGTATTCAATAGGATATGGAAGAGCTCCCTTTATCCAGCGATTGTTCCGGTTCCAGTGGCAGAAAGCACGAATGCTGTCCCAACTGACTTCGTACCGGCCGCAGACAAAAATGGCATCTTTAGCGAAAGCGATCTCCTGTAAAACCCATACCCGATAGAACCAAGGCCGCTTGAAGAGTGCGCGAATAGATTTGATGTTTGGGGTACACTGTGGCACTGTGTTCCAAGACGGATAAACATCGTAGTCAGAGGGCTGATCGATTTCGTATATCGAGTGCATGGCTTCGTCACTGCCATCGGCGCTTTGTCCAAGATATACCACGACACGGCGGGCTCCTTGATATATCTGGGCCATGAGGGTAATTTGATGGTTGCGCTCAGGCATTGAGTGTTGGTTGATACATATTGAATCGATCCACAAGACTCGAGGCTCGTGGGGTTTCCGCAGGGCCATCAAAGCGTTGTGACAGTTTGTTGTAACGAACATCGTGGCACAAGTTTCGTTGGCACTGTGTGAAAGCACTTTGATCTCATTTTTCTGATCTGCATCGCCCCAGGTATAAGAGACGGCTTCGTATGATATACTGCCGAAGGAGCAAGCTAGTATTCGGATGGTAATAGGGGCGTTATTCTGACCGGCTTGCAGTTCCAGCAAGCGGAACGCATTTTCAGTCTCCAAAGCAGGACCAGGGTACATGTAGGTATTTGAGATTGTCTGGTTCATTTTGAAGTTGAGGAGGACACCTAGACGCTGTGTTGAAAGAAGAATAGCGGTTGCAACTGTCAAAATTTCAACAAAGGTGAAAATGCGACTATATAAACATTTAAAATGCAATATAATTGATGGCAGTGCATCTGAGCGTCACGGATGCCAAGAGGCGCAGCGCTGGAGCATATCTGGGCTGTTCACCGCTCACTTTACATAGGTAATGTATCCATCCCTAAAAAGACTGGACCTCCCGCAGTAGCTGCAGTCGCCCAAGAGGCGCAGCACAGCTGCAGCATCGCTGCCTTGGCACATAGCATCCATGGTGTAATTTGCGTGCACGAATGAAATTATAATACATGGACTTAGGATAGCCTATTGATTATTATACTATGGATGAGGTGGTTCTTGCTTTACAAGCGCCATTGCTTCGCCCTTTTTGCATGCCTTTAATGTTGTTTAGTGATGTGTACGCCCACACCTCATCTGAAACGTCACCGCCGCGACCGCACTACTACATGGAGGTATTTAGTCTCACTTGCTGCCCAATTTATTTCATCATAATTTATCTTAAATATCTCTATCTTGGTATGTTTTTTATTCTTGTATCCCAAGGTAATTATTCACATAGATGTCTGACCTGCCGTCGTCGAACAATCCGCCGTTTCCATGCGAGAAATGTCTTGCGCTGAACTTCGAATGTCTACCACCCTTTTCAAGAAGTCTCCGATTCAATTCTTTAACGCATGTTTAGGAATGCGATCTTGCCTTGCTTGGCTTCCACGTTGATACAGAAATCGAAGTAAACGAACTTTCTTATCACTAGCTCAATCTCAAAGCAACTCAGAACAGTGCCTTAATTCTACTCAGTCGCATAATATCGCCAGAAATTAGAACCGACCAGGAGTCACAGAAAGTAGCTAGCCAGACTCTCCAAATTACTTTACAACTTAAACGTGCCAACATGATGCATAACCCATATTTCATCACATCTCCATTCTCCATGTTTGTTGCTAGAATAGAAAATTTGGATCCTGTATACTAGCAATGGACACTTACAACTCTTAAGGAGCTTCAAGACTGGAGAGAAAACGTCCATCAAGTTATCAAACTACTAAAATCGATCATTCTTCTACAGCAGCCACGCAAAGCTCAGATTAACTTTGGAGAGTAAATGGAAGAGCTTGAGTTAAAACTTATAATCCAGAATGTATAGCTCACCTTGTACTAGGCTAACGTATTGGCCTATGCAGAACACCATGGTGGACGTTCTCCAAGCTGGCTATCGCGAACTTGGTGCACTTTGAGAAGATTGTTACACGGAGTAATGGTCGAGCGTGTCTATCGCCGTTGGTCTTGACTCGGATCGGATATGACATAGCCAACGGTGGGAAGTCTCTAGGAGTTCAGATATTAGGCAGGAGGTAGTGTCCTTCTAGACAACATCAGCGACGTGGACATACCCATCAAAGTCGGGAATGATGCAGGAATTGATTATTCTTCCGTGATTTATTGACAATATTGAGCAAAAGGAAGACAAGAAAGGAGTGTATTGGATGCTCAGATGCTGTAACCATTCATGTTTATAAGTGTACCCTATCTGATAAGATAATATTTCCCAAACCCCCCACGCCTCTGTTACTTTGACATTCTCGGGAGATCTTCCTTGGGGAAGCCAATGTTAAGCAGGACGATCTCTTGAACATGGCCCCCTCTATGAGATACTTTGCTACTTCCTGCCTCTCAGTATGCCGAGAGTCGCTAATCCAAGGCGATCCTGGTGGCGGACTTAAGGATAAGATGGTTGGGTCTGCTCCGGCCTCCTCGATCAAGTATTTGGCCATCTTAGCATTTTCCCCACACCCGAATATCGCGGCAGCCAAAACACTGCCATAATCGCCGCCGAGATGCGCATTCACGTTGGCTCCATTCTCCACGAAGAGCTTTGCACACCTCAGCGAACCTCCGTATGCGGCTGTTCCTAGAGGGCTGCCGAATATATTGTCTTCATCCACCAAGTTCACATTTGCCCCGTATTTTATTAGGAGCTCTGCTAAACTGGTTTTATTCCGATAGGCAACGGTATCTAAGCCGCAAAGAAACGGACAGTTTGGGCAAGTGATGTTGGGGTCTGTTCCTGTCTTAAGAAGAAGTTCAACCAAATCCACAGCGGTCGAAATAGCCAAGCAGAGCGGACTTGTATACCTGCCGACTTGATTTGGATTGACGCCCTTTCCCAAGAGCAGCATTGCCGCTTTAACTTTTGACGCAGCAATTGCTTCCATGAATGCGCTTCCATGGTAACTATCCAGCTCTTTGTGTATATCGCCCCCCCGGCTAATAAGCTCGGAACAAAGCTCATCATGGTCGTACTTCGCAGCAATGGCGAGTAAATCCAGTCCCCGACTATTGACTTGTGAGACGTCAATGTATTTATCCCACCAGCCCTTAAGCAACTTGTCAAGACCAAGAACACAAATACCAAAAATAGACTTCTCCGACGGCATTATATCGTTGTAGAAATACCGAATGCCATCAAGCTCATTCCGAATTTCCATGTGTCTGCACCATACTTGATATTGTTGACTGGAGGATTGTTGAGGACCTTCAGCTCCCAAAAAGCGTTTAAGAATCTCTGATAGACCTGTGACCTCCTGGCACTGTTCTGGAGTGTTTTTCACATGCTGTAACCAATATTTTCTCGTATACTTTTGAAGAGGATGTCGTGGATCCAGATAATTTCCCAAATCCGCTGCCGTTTTCAGGAAGTGTGCGATCTCATCGGACGATTCAGGCAGTGTCCAGTCCGAGTAGCAATTTATTAGACACGAAACCAGCAGAATCGCCACATCTTCAGGAGCTGTATCTATCCAGCTCTTATGTTGATTCTCAAAATACTCTGCAACTGATGCATGCGGAAATTTCCACACCGCTAATTGAGAGTCTAAGACAACCAAATGTGAGCATATACTCTCCAACGTAGACTCGTCGATGGGATCTGATACAGTAAGAGACTCAAGGTTGCTCTCCAAACGGATGGCCATTAGAAGCTCGTCGCTTGTCAATGGCCTTCTAGCACATAAAACCCATTTTACTGCCCGTTCTAAGATGGCCTTTTCTTCATTCCTTGAATAGATCTCTTCGTATGCTTCTGTAAGGCTTGTAGGAAGCTTTCCAAGCCGCTCACGGATGCGTTGATTGGTTCTCATCTTTTTGAGCTCTTCCCATTGAAGATACGCCCACCGGAACCTATCCATTGATTAGTACGATGAAAAGACGTTTTGAGCTTAATTAAAGCAATGGCATGGTACACAGGCAACTCACATTCCATCACTGTTCTCTCCGATCGTCTTTTTGACCTGCTCCTTCACTTCCTCCGAAACAGACCTCCATATACCGCTAACCTTTGCTATCTCTTCTTCGATATATTTCTCAATGTCTTCCTTGTTGTCGGCGGTACTTATCTCAACCAAGTTCTTCAAACCAAGATGTTCCTCAATGTCGGCCTCTTTACGACTGGCAATGAAAATCTTGACGGTACCTTTACCCTTATCGACTAGATTGTGCAAAATACGAGTAAGTGCCTCTCTAGTATCCATATAACATTCATCCAGAGCGTCTAAAACCAAAGTAGTCCGCGAATAGAAGTTAATGAGTTCAATTAAGGCCGTCTCACATTCGATGGTGCTTAAGCCTCTTTTCTCCTCTTTTGCCTTGAGGTATAAGGCATAGATGTTCTTCTCAATCATGGCTGGACGGTTCGGTACCCTGGCAAGCTGAGATACATAGCTCCTTAGGATATACTTTGTTTGTCGACGTACTGGATCTGAACGACTGCAATAGAAGTAGGCAAAGCCTTCATCATATTCGGCTTTCTGCTGACGGCTGACAGGAAGGTGGTCGATTACTTTGGATGTAAGGAATGACTTTCCCGCACCGACTGAAGCAAAAGAAGCAAGAAAGATTAGTTCGTCATACTCAATCTCTGTTACCCTTATACCAAGGGGAATAGAGCAAAGTTACATACCGTTTCCTTGAAGCCATAACGTCGAAGAGTAACTTGATCTGTCCCATTCAATAAACCCGGAATGATTTAATAACCATTCGCATGTCCCAAGGGTCCTTGCTTCGTGCTTTTCCTGTTGATGTTCGCCGATCGGTATAGTGCTGATATATTCTAGCGCCTGTTCCAATATACCCTCTTCAACCTTCTGTAGTAGCTTCTTTACGGTATCTTCATTGTTCCTTATTGGTTCATCGAGATTTTTGAGGAGCGTTTGATGCTCTTGCGATGCAACTGCACCACAACCTTGAGCAGGCATTGACACTTTGCGTTCTTGTTCTGTCAGTGCCGATACTAACTTTAGGCCTTCTCCACCAGAGACGAGGGCACGCAGAAATTGCTTCCCTTGACCTTCATTTAGGCGGACAAAGGCGTGGGCGAGGAGCTCCATCAATCCCTTGTATAACTCAACGAGCGCATCTTTTAGATTTTCTGTTGCCCCGTTACAAGAGCCGCCACTAAGGTATACATCTTCATATACCCTACCATGTCGCATAAGCCTTAGGACTTTTTCAGCACATCCGAAAATCACCGCAAGGTCCTCGCATTGGGACACATTTGCCTGATCGAGGATTTAATAACTGAAAGTAAAAGATTATTAAAGGGTATAGCCTTACCTTTAAGAGTACTCTGAGGGCTGACCATGCGACTGAGGAACCTGCAGGGGCAAAGTTGATGGAGATGTCCCCAATTGCTGTTATCCACGACACCACACTGTTGGCGTAATCTCTCCACATTATCTCGGAATCACCAATTCTAATCTTCAGAGTTCCATGCTTGTACTCCTCTTCTCTATTTCGAACAAGTGTGATGAGGTCTTGGGTCCTCTCCTCACCACTAATACTGTTGGAGACATCACCGATCCATTTTTTAGCCTTATCGTCTAGTTTTTGGTAAGCTCGAGACCATAAGTCAGAGCTGTCTTTTGTTTCATTCCGAAATTTGACACCCTCTACCATTGCAGCGGGTTGAGACTCCGCAGACTTGTCGTTTACTGTTGCCTCCGTTTTTCGAGAAGTTGTAGGTGGAATTCTTAATGAGACTGAGCTTGTGGCTGGTGAAGCCTCAGCATCGGACACCGCGCCCCAGAAGCTCTTCGTTCCATCACGTTTCTTGTTCTTCCGTTTGAAGTAAGAAGAAAGAGGTCCAACCATACTTAAGCCAACGAATTTTTCAGGCGAAAAACTCTCATCAAATAGATTCGAGACGCAACGATTGATGGAAAATATAGAAAACCACAGTGCAACCGCTAGGTAATGAGTGGTTAGAGTATTCAATAGAAGACAGATGAAAGTTGAGGCACAAGTTGGGCACAAGTGCGGAGTTGGCCGGCAAGGATGTGGCCCCTCAGCCTACTAAGCGCGTACGCAAACAAGGCAGGGATCGGGACCTGGCCTATCAAAATTCAGGAAATGAGTCCCGTTACAATCTGTCAACAATCTTTCGGAAGGGTTGAAGAAGTAGGCTCCTTTGAGACCCCTAGAACGCTCCCTTCTCCAAGCATCGGCATTGACAATTGATGATGCGACAGGAGTAGCAGATCTGACCACTAATTTGGCAAATACATCATAAACACTTCAAGGCCGCTCAGATAGCAGTAGCGATTGAAGTGAGGCACACCAACATAATCGGCGCCGTACCAACGCACCATGTATGTGCAGAGCTCGCCAACCAAGTCATCAGAGCTGGTGCAGACCTGAGAAAGGATGGATAGAAGGCGGTACTAGTCTCTTGAAGGTGGTAACAGCAATGAGCTAGTACCCGTGGGAGTCGATAAGCAGTTTGGTAAAGAAACGTACGGGAACTAATTCATATAGAGGAGTAATAGCTCAAACCTCGAATACTTTTTAATTTTTCGGGTCAAACATCTATCCGTAGAAGTTTATTCACAGAGTAAGTTCACCACAGTTGAACACTAGCTTCATGTTCAAGATTAGGGAGAGACTGGACCCGTCATGCTATTGTCCTTAACCAGCTATAGAGAATGTGAGGGAAATAGAGGATCCATCTAGCTTTAGCTCTGTTCTCTGGAACACGAGATTTGCTCTAGTTTCCATAAAATATGACAACTATCTTTCATGATCGATCATCTGCCTTGAAATGGTCCGACCAAGATGTGCGGAAGTGGTAGGTGAGGCCTACATCCGTAATCTCTTGTAGTTCGTTGTCCTCTAGTGTGATCTTTAAAGCTTGGGCATACTCGTCCAGCCTCGCAGGATTTTTGGTAGTGGTTACAGCAACAACCCCGTTCTGTATGATCCAACTGATAAGGACAGCTGCCTCAGTGGTCTTATGCGCTTTGGCAATGCGGGACAAGGGCTCACGCAGCGGTCCATCAGGAGCCCTGAATGCGGGAGTCAGGCCTTTGAACGAGCCCACTTTCAAGCCATTCTCACGCAGCCACGGCAAGTAATCGTTTCCACGCTGCAGATAGGGATGAAACTCAATCTGGTTCAAAACAGGCGGAATGGTCGCACCGTCCAGCGTAGCCTCGACATGATGGCGTAAGTAGTTGCTTACACCTATCGATGTGGCGAGGCCAGCCGTTTTGAGCTTCTCCATTGACTTCCATTTACTCTGGAACTCGGCCTGTGCGCGCTTAAAGGCATCCGAGTTGGTATCCATGTCGGCATCCAAGTCGGCAAAATATGGAGTATGAATCAGATAACTGAGATGGCGTTAGTACAAGATCGCTTTGACTATTAGGTAGAATAACACACAGGTCGAAATAGTCGAGCTGCATTTTCCTGAGACTCTCTCTAATCGCCGCATCGATGTCATCAATGCCTTGGGAGACCTTATTGGTGATGAAGAATTTTTCGCGTGGGACCTCCGATTCTTTAATGGCGCGGCCGACTTCCTCTTCGGTCCCGTACATTTCAGCGCAATCGAGATGGTAGAATCCTTTCTTTATGGCCGTTTTGATCAGGTCCAAGAGCTTCTGGTTAAAATTCGTATCTCCGGCTTCCTTGAACCACGCCGTTCCGGTGCCCAAGGCAAGCTACAGATACTCATTGGTCTTGAGGATACGCTGGTGTTCTGTCTATAGGGAGCTCACCATCGGTATCTTATTGCCATCGCGGAGGAGCAAGAGTGGGTTATTCATCTTTGGTACTGAGCGAAGCGATTGAAATGATTTGGATGTATGGAGAAGATACAGGCCGCCGGTCGGTTGCTGGAGGAAGTGATGACAGCGTGAAAGCTCGGTGCCAATTATCCAGGTCCGAGCGCGGAGTCTCAGAATTGGAGGCATCAAGGAGTGACCTGTTTCCCCTATGAGGATGACCAGCTCAGATGAAATGGTATAAAAGAGAGAACAACCAGTCGGAGCGGCTTGGAGTGATCTTGTAGGATTTTGCACGAGCTCTTATAGTCGTGGACGAAGTTGATAAGCCGAACAAGAGAGAAATAAATGAACACTTTAATTTGAGCTTCAGATTACCCGAACACCAACACATTGGCTTCAATGTGCGGGGTAGCCTTGGAACCTTGAATTGCTGTCATCCAACAACCAACGAGACTCTTCAAGAGTTTACTCCCCGAGCAAGAATGTCAGAAGCTAAGGAATAGACAAGAAACAACAAGGCGTCTACGTAATGAGGTAATTGATGGTAATCACAGCCCATTCATTCTGGTCCGGCGAGAGATACAATTCTTACTGAGATGCCATGTTGTGAGAAATACAATTGCTACATCTCATACTCTTCTAGCTTACTTCTCCTCCTCAGCCGTGTTGATGAAAAGATGTTGGGGCTATCTTGAACATGGAAGGTCACTAAGCCTCAAACACAAATGCCGTCTTCCTGCCAAATCCTTCAATACCCTGACTTTCGACAACCTCCTTGACGTCGTCCTTGTTCTCAGCAATAAATTTGGCCATGGTTACCCAGTTGTTTTTTCGTCTTCGGAAGAGCCCTTCGTCCAGCCTCATCTCCTGGACTAAAATTTCCATGACAAAAGGTATCTTTTCATCCTTCTTGGAACCTTCGGGCTTCTGCATCGCACGATCCCAGTCCCCAGCCTTGCATTTAAAATACACCACACGTGTCTTCGGCTGTGGAACCGGAGACGCAGCGTCCCCAGTCTCGTCACTCATGGCAATGTAGTGAACAACGACACAGTGATTCACGGTGGAAGGCTCCGACGCCTCGCCGACCTGGAACGGCCTTATCTTGCGAATGAAGTCTGTAAAGGCTTCATTGACCTTGTTAATGACCGAGCTACTGACATCTGGAAGACCGGCAAGGATGCGTTCAATGACATATTGGCGAAGTTCCGAACGCGATTTGTTCACACACACGGATTCTGTCAGGGTACTTTCCACTGTGTAAACAGCTCCGACTTGGGCCTTGGTGAGCGAAGTCATGGTCGCATTGGCAGCCTCTTCAAAAGCCAGAGCAACCTCGTCCGGGTTTTTAATGGAATACGTCTCTTTGCGACTCTGGTTGTCATAGTCTGATACTTCGTTGACGGCGGCGAAGAAGCGAATCATGCCGGCGGCGCTCATGAGAGACTCAAATGCTCTATGTACATTTTCGTCGTCACTTGTCGGCTCGATGGCGAAGATGTACGAGACTGGGACTTCGCCGCGCTTGATGAGGTCTTTGGGCTCCAGGATACTGCTTTCGACCAGGCCGACAAGGGCATCCATTCGACTGCCGCCCCAGAGATCCTGGTGGTTGGCATAAAACTTGCTATTGTTTCTAATAAGCTATCCTGAAACACCATAATATTGTGAGGCACATACTTGAGGTCTGGGTGATCTGTATTCATATCCATGATGATGGTTTGAGACTAGTTTGGCCAAGTCGTACGGAGGTTATTGCTCAATAGATGGACTGAGGGAGGACGGCCCTATATATATATAAATACATGTATATATCCCGGAAGTTCTGAGCCCCTATAATAGCCTTTATACATCATGGAGTGGCTCTATAACATCCATTCAATAGCACATGCAGGAGCACGTTTAGGTTGGGTGTCTTTTGGTGCAGCTAGGGGGCTTACGTGGACAAGTAGTATTGCACTCGACACACACATCGGCGTACACGTATGCTGTTACGCCTATTTAATCCGATGGTTAATGCTATAATAATTTATACTAAATAATCAATAAATTGCCTTTTAGAGATGATAAATAAGATCAAGTAATATTTTTCCCTTTGATTAGAAATCACGACACCATTAGAGGAAGAGCGCTTGAAGTGACAAATTTGGATGCATCCTGTGTGAGCATGGGACAAAGGATATCACTTGTGGGCATCTAAGGAAATATCTCGTGATTAAAGTATGTCTGGATATTATAACGGGAACATCCAGCAATGTCACAATTGCGGGAAAACTAGGAAGCGCAGCATTTTCTTAGGCGTAGACTACCGGGTACTCAAGCCGCCAATAGAAAGGTGATGAACTGATTCCAATTGACCAAATTTTAGCTTTCTAATGCAATTTATCCTATCAAGCGGTCTGCTTCGGTTTGGGCATCATGATTGGGTTTCTCAACTGCAAAAATCCCTCAATGGCAGTATACGGACCCTTTTGCAGCCCAGGCTTGGTGAGGTTACCCGTCTTTTCAATACCAAACGGATTGAACTTGGGCTGGGGATCCTCTTCCTCAGACGGCTGCGCATAAGGCTGGAAAAAGGACCAATCTCCCGGCCCCAGAGAAGGCAGGGGAAGATTTCGCAGCGGCATATCCCTAGCATTTTTGCTAGTGAGAAGTTCCTTCTCATGATATTCTGGAACGTCATTCAGCGGTATGGTCAAAGGCCCCGCGTGAAAGAATGCGGTCATGGTGTTCATGGCGCTTTGCCAGCTCCAGTGAGGCAACGTCAGCGAAACGGGTGGCAGAAATGATGAATAGGCTTGCACAGGAGTGAACGGGTCAATAATAGCGCCAAAGACGGACATGCGCGCGTTGCGGCGATCATCAAATGCTGCCGGCTTGACAATCAAGTTTTCATTATCGTACGGTGCTCGAGTAGGAAATGGAGCCTCCCAGAAAGGTGTAAAGAGGGGATAGTTTGTAGTGTTGAGACGCTCTAGCGGTTTTTTCTCACCCTCCTCTGGCGCAAAAAATGTCTTGACCTTGCTCAGATTGAGTTCATCTGACTTCGGTGTAGTGGTGTCAAAATAGCCCACAAGGCCATCATATTCAGCTTCACGGTCGCCAAAGCGGATCTGGAACTTGTAATATGGCGACTCGTCGTCGTCGTCATCTGGCTTGGTCAACAGGCGCTCGGGGGCCGTCAGGGGGCTCTTGGTGGTTTGAGTCTGCAGAGGTTGGCTTTCAAGTTCAAGCGACCAGCCCATGTTGACCAAGGCAAGAGGTTTGCCCACGATGGCATTGAGAAACGATGCGTAAGAGGTCGGTGCAGCGGCCAGCTTTGATTGAGCAGTTGTGATCATATACCAGAATCCCTCCAAATATGAGGGATCATTAAGCTCTTTAGCCAACGCATCAAGCTGCCTGGTCTCTGGCGTCGGAGGATCCGTGGATGGTGCAAAAGGTAGCCATTTGGGAGCATCCAATGCGCCAAGGGGCCCTCCAAAGCGGACCTCGCGGTAGAAAGTACCGTCTGGCAAGAAGAGCTGGATGCCAAAGTCGGCGTAATTGGTAATGACCCAGCCCCAGATTGGGTTTTCCCACTCTGTTGCCGGACGCCAAGTAGCTCCATTCGCACCTTCATCCAGTCCCTCTTTCATGTCAGGCGGATCGTCAGCAATTCGCTTGACAAAGTCGGCATTTAGACGAGCATTTTGGTTGATTTGAGGCGGCAGTTGCAGGAATTCGCACTGCTTGGCCTCATCTTTGATCACCGTATTAGCGTAGAGTTTGCCGTCTACCTCGATGGTCTGTGGCTCGTAAAAGTCACTGATGCAGGGGTAGATTGGTGGCGGTCCATCCACTCGCGGCTTCTGGTCAATGGCCATCAGAGCTTGCCCAAACTTGTCAATGACATTGAGCTTGCGGAATCTAGTTGCACAACAGCAGTTAGTATGGTTCGTTCTAGTTGATATAATAGAGACTGTGTATATGTGCGTGACTGGGAAAGCTCACCTAAACTGCCCGTGTGTGACTGGCTTGAAGGGATTCCATTTATCCGTTGCAAAATCCTGCTGTGCCGCATACGGCGTGAGGGCAGAGTTGCCCATGATCATTTCCAGGTTGGGTTTTGTCAAACCAGCAGTTTCAATGACAGCTTCAACCATTGCTTCGCTGACTTCGCCTTCGGGACCGACGAACTTGTTCTCGGGCTTCACATGGCTGCCTTCTGCCTGGGTGACCAACCCATCAAACAAGCCAGAGAGCGGAGAAGAAAGATATGACAGCTTGCGCATGTTATTCTTTAAATTGCACCGGTCCTCTTTGGTCAAGTACTTGTTCAAGATATCTTCGGGAGTATTATCAAACAGTTGGACTACCTTAGCCTCAAGCGAGAAGCTGGGCTGCGGTAATATGAGTGAGCGCCCAGATAGAATGCGTGTATCTGGACCTTTATCTCCCTGGGAAATCTTCAGATCGTCCCAAAGTGGGAGAGCTTCTTTGCCGTCCCTTGGTTTCACAGTGATGCCATAACGAGAGAGTACGTTGGCCGATAGGCGAGCTGTGTGCTCGTCCAAGTTCCAATACTCAAAGGGAATGTGGTCGTACTCAATCTCCCACTCCACAAATAGCGGGAACCATGGCTGTCGCTCTGACCACTGATCCCGCCAGCGCTCAATTTGAGTCTCGGGATCAATCGTCTTGTCGTGGAACTGTGGGTAGAAGCGGGACTCCGGCGCCGTGCCAGAATCGCCACCGCCAGGACGAAGAGCATAGAACTCTGTCGCTAGATCAATTGCGTGCTGCTTAAGTAATGGAGGCATTTCCTTAAATAGAGCCAAAACTTTGTTCAAGGACTCGGGTAAGGCAGCGGACGAGGGAATGACCTGATATGGTGCTCGGACAGAAACTCTGTTCAGATAGTCCGTCGGCCAGCCTGACTCTATGCCTCCAATGAGGACAGTAGGATTGTTCGCCCGGCAATAGGCAGGCATGCTGGCAGGTTTGGCTGTCGCCAAAAAGTTCGTCCCATGGATGGCGATCGGAGGGTCCAACATAAGATCAATCTTATGCTGCAGCTCCTCCATGCGGTCTTTGAGGCGAGAAATGTGCTCTGATAGATCTTTGGCCTTTTGAAGGAATGCCGGGGCGGTGGGATCAGTGCCATCATTGCCAGCATCGCTGACAAACTTCCACCACAGTGAGAACATGTCCCAGCGATACTGAGTCATTGCAAAACGGCACGCATCGAGGAGCTTCTTGGTCTGATTCAAGTCGCGGAGCGCAAGGATGGCTTCCCTCTCCGGTACCATTGGCTGATTGTCTGATTTTCCGTCATTATCATTTCCGGAGAAATAGTACCTTTCACCTCCGGGAGAGCGTGTAAAGGACCAGTTATAGATGGTATCTTTGGCTTGGCGCTGATCCTCGACGCCATCATCACGCGCGTATAGAAGCGAGTCAATGGCCAAGATTGACTCTTCCAACTTGGCAATGTCGCCGGGGATCCCTGGATGGTCCTTGCGAGCCGTGCAGTACGAGATGATAGCATCCATGGGAGTTGTTCCCACAGAGACAGCCGCTAGTTCCTGATCACGGAGACGAGCATTGTACCGATCCGCCGGCACATCTTTTGGCTTGTTTTCATGATCCCATGTAACGTCGTACATGGCACCGTGACACATGAGATGCAACTGGCTGATTTTCTCCATCCACGAGTCTGTAGGATCCGCGCCTTGGAGAGTCATGAATAGGTTTGCCAGGCTGGCGCCGTGGGCAATTGTCTTGCCAGAAGTCCACAAAGGATCAACATCATCTTTCCAGTGCCATCCAAGGACATAATAGCTAGCTTTGGCATAAGACAGATACTTGGGTCCATCTTTATCGCCAGCCCCGTACTCAAAATTGTCTAGCACACTGAAGACATTCGTATTGTGCATCTGGAAGTCTGCGAACAGTTGGTTGCCGCTCTGTAGCAGGCTGAGATTGGGCGGATCAACGCTGGGATTTGGTGTTTCGGACCAGTCCGCCAACGGAGTCTTACGTCCGATAAAGACTTCGGCCTGCTCGCCAATATTGATGTCTGAGCCGGCGTGTCCTTTGACAAACGGCGCAAAGTCCGTCTGCAGGTCCATATCCAATGGAATCTGGTCCAGTGACCAGATGTGGTCACTATCAACCACCCACGCCTCATATTCTTTGTCTTGAAAGGCTGATTTCGCATCTGCTGGTTGTATGCTGTCCACTTCAATCTTGCGAATCACAATCCACCTAGTCGGCGGTTGGACAAAGTCTGGCGTATCGTTGCTGCCATCCTCTTCAACGTCTCCAGGCGCAGCATGCAAGCCACGTCTCAAGCGCTCTTCTCGCCTCCTCTGCTTCGAAACTGTGCTGCCCGCTGATGTGCCTGATCGATAGAAACGAGGCAGAATCCAATGGATGTACACGCCGTGACGATGACGGAGAGCTTTAGGCTGTCCCTCATCATCACGGCTCCCGAGGTCATAGAGACGCGGGTTCACAATAGCAGGAGCAGTGTTATGAAGATCTGCGTGGTTCTGAACATCTTTCTGCAGCATGTATTTGTCCAGTCGCAGGAAAGTGTAGTTGGGCTGCGTGATGGGTGCGATGCGTGTTGTATCATCGCCCTCTTCACCACTGCCGCATACAGCTGGGTTTAGCACAAAGGCCTCCAACTGCATTGGCACCAGCACGGTGTCAAAGTCTTTGATTGTATCCGGCATTTTTCAGGTGGTTAATGTGTATGTGCTATGTAAAAAAGAAGAAGAAGAGAGAGATCAAGGTGCATACAGCTTCCTGGCTCAGGTCATTTGAGCAGAAACTGCTCCTTGGTGGTTCAGACCTATAGCCCTTACTGAGATGATGCCAACAAAGATGAAGAACTGAATCTCGATTTACATGAATTGTTTGCTCACATTACTTGGATAAGTACGATTCCATATTGTATCTCTCTATCAGTGCTACTTGACCTCAGGAATTTCATAACCTGATTTAGTTTAACCTTCTTTTTTAGATTCATACCTCCCTCATTCCAAGTATACATAGTTATACTTCTACATAGGACATTACATATCATACTATCAGAACTGCTTGATATATACGGTACCCCGTTGGTATCAAGCAACGATAATAATTCTTTGCCCGGTACCTCTCAGTTAGACTAAATAACTTGCTCCTTACTATACTAGCTTATTCGGGCGTTAATCATGCATCCCCGCCCGCAATAGCTCAATACTGAGTCCATTGGGAGGCTAACTCGTGGATTCCGTCGGCACACTTCTGCTAATTCCATCACTTGTCACTTTCATTTTCACTCAGCTACTCCACAGAAAACTAGAGCTACCGTAATGACGACGGCGATGCATTGCCGAGCCACACTCACACTCCTTCGTGTCCCCGCCACAAGTCACTGATACAAGTGACAACTTTTCAACCCGTGTCCCAGCTGCCAAGAGGGCCGACAACCTTGTCAAGGACCGGCTCTCAGTGAGGGGTAAACTATTGAAAACAGCATAGCGCAAATGGCGAAGACATGGATTAGCCAATGCTCCATTGACTAGCCAGCGCGGCCGACTAGTTCCCGTTTGTCTATAGTTAGTTCCCGCCCCCTCTATTGATGGAGACGCGGGAACTAGTCGACGGCGCTGAATAGTCAGAATAGTCAACCTGCCGAGCAACGACCGTCATTCAGCTCATGTTGTGATGGCAGTGGCTTGTCGTCTCTTACCATTTTCTGCTTCGCTTGCATGGGGATCGTGATGAAGTATCCATAACTGCCTACACCACGGGCATGCCAGTAATGTTTGGCGTTGCGATCACATGCGTCCTGAGCCGTTGTGATTGACAACTTGGGATGCATTGGAAACACGCTACATCGCTAATTGGGTATCATTGAGCGATACAACCGCCCGCCACAAAGGAGAAAGATTTTTAGACATTTTATTGGATGTAGTGATATTCCTTCAGCTGTCAACAGGTGCGTGAACCAAGCTGAACAACACAGTCTAGTTGTCAAGAGGCTGGCTGACTGCGAAACCGATGGATCACTGAGCTTCAATTCGGACTGGGAAGGCGCCAGCTACGTAATGATGGAGGAAAATCGCGTGCCCCGACTTCAGGTTCTCCTATCGTTTCGTCAACGTGGGAGACAACAAGGCAGACAGGCTCCGTGGGCCTCTTCTTGGGCTTCAAGTTGGAAGGGAAATCCGACAAGGAGGACAACTATATCAAGGACGACAACCACCTTCTGATTGAGCTCTCAGCACTCCAAACTTCACCATTCAGCATCAACAGGATTCTTTCCACAGATATATTTACAGCTCTCAGCTCTTTGAAGTAACTCTTCTAACTTAAACACAATCATCAACAATGGCGGCCCTCGCAGCAATTTACAACCCTTCCGCTCCTAAGGACAGGAGCGTCAGCCTGTTCTTCAACACCAGCACTGCTCAGGTTGCCTTGAGCTTGATGAATGGCACTGAAGGCAATGATAACAATGATATCTACGCCTGTGGTGACGACGATTACCCTGGCTATATCCTCAACCCCTCTGAGATCGCTGGTGGTACCTATCGTGGCATTCAGCATGTTGTCGCAACGACAGTTCCCATTGTTGAAAAGGGTGCTTCTGTGACCAAGAACCAGATCTCTCTCATCTCTCCAGTGTACAAGAAGCTGAACACTACCGCCTTGGCCAACAAAAACGTTTCATTCTCCGCGGATAATGTGGATAAACACGCCTGGGCATACTTCTTGGAGTAAGTTGATCTCGTGCCAGTTAGAGAGTTGACAGGTTCACTAACCATATATATAGTGGCTCCGCTAATTACCAGACGGCGCTCAAGGAATACGACTTCCTATCAGGGAGCACCGCAAAATACCTTGATCATGCCGACATCAGGGTTAACAGCTCGCTCGCTGCCTACTACAACATCAAGAACAAGCACCGTTTTGTCATTTACCAGGAGGTTGGCGCGGGAAACCATCTCAAGGAGTTTGATATTACCAGCGGCCAGAGTACGTTTTATTTGAACTATGCTTTCCTTTATATGCTAACATTAGTTTTCCCGTATAGCCTACGACATCCAGAACTCGGTGGGTGCCGCCCCAGGTACCACCATTGCCGTCACATATGACCAAGGCGGCAACAAGGCCTACGTCTACTACTACGATACAGATGCCACTATTCGACGAATCGTCAAGACTGGTGCTGATCAAACTGCGTCCTGGTCGCCAAGCGTACCAGTCGAGAACGCTGTCAGGATCAGTGTTCCCGGCCAGCTGACTGTTAGCACCGCTAATGGCCTCAACCATCTCTTCTACGTGTCTGTCGACAACTCTCTTGCCGACAATGATTTCACCCACGTGACCGATCCGCTCGATGAGTAAAGAACTGGGAGAAGGCTGCCCTGAAATTAGCAGATATCAGTTAGATATGACCAGATAGCAATACAACTCGTCTGGAGTTATTGAAAATCTCATCGTCGCATTTGTTCTACAGTGTTTTGTAGGATGGTGTTCGATATGCCAAAGCTGGCTCCTTATATCATCTACGCGATGTGTAGCTTAGCTCGATGGCTTCGTCAGCTCCAACTTGATAGAAGTCAATTTTGTCCAAGTAACCAACCAATTGTCCAATGAGTACTGGAAGCACTACCCACAATATAGTGTCGGCCAACAACATCACGCATTTAAACAGTTATTGACGTGACTCGCATATAATAGAAGGTAGTCAGTCCAGTATCCATGCGGCGATATCAATGTACACACTTATGATGCTACGTATCACATATACCGCATATTTAACACAGCTAAATAGCGTTATCACTTGAAAATAGTCACTGTATCCAAGTTTTTTCGTCTAGATAATATTTTAAAAAATAGCAAAACAATGAAGTAATGTTGACAAAATAATAGCAACTAATGTAAACTATGCTATGGAGTATCTGTAAGTGTATCGTGAGTTTGATCAAAAGCATTTCGCTATAGGGTACGCATTATGGTCATTCTCTCTTTCTCTTTTTTTTTTAAACTATAATGCATAAATCTCATCATACGTAGGTACGACACTGAGCCGCACAGGTGGCACATCGATTACAGGGTAAACGTGATTTCTGCGATTGGATTGAACACCGTGACTGTCACAACTTACCCACATGTTGGAAGGCTCTACGGAACCGCTCCCCGAGCAAATGTGTGGTTTCACCCTGTCATTGTCTTCACATGTAGTTTATTATCAGCGGGGTAATCTCTTTGTGGCGCTGCTCCGTTGAAATTTGAACGATGATTGAACTTGAATGAGAAAAACCACCGGATAGCTATCTTCACTCCCACCTGGGTTACGCTTCACCCCTCCCCCTTCTCCAACCGCCTTTGAAACGCGCCCAAGCGCTTCGAGGCAGGTTGCAGTGAAAGCTAGGCAATAAGTGTCCTTAAAAAGCGGACCCGGCAGTTTTCAAAGAGCTGACACCCTGGCCATCTCCACCACGGGAACTTGTCCAATGAGTTGGGGCGGAGGATCCCGGGAGATCAGCTATTAACGTGCCGTGTGTGGAGGGGGCGATGCCCCTGTTGGGTCTCTTCTTGGGCTGGAATATCACATGAATAGTTTCGGTATTTAGCTTCTTATGGTCCTTATTAACTTTGTATTTTTTTGCTATGTATGCGTATTTGGGACGAAACTATTCGTCAATGGTATCGTTTTGTTATGTAAATCACGCAATAAACTACCTATCTAGTTTTCCTACATGACAGAAAAATAAAGTCTGCACTTACTATACCTAAATTATCAATTCTTATTACATATTTACTCACCCATCAAGCATGAGGAATCCAATGAAACTGGTTTCCTGTTAATTTCGTCTCCCTGACCCCGCCTCAGCTATCCGTTGACGTCCATCACATAAAACTACTCCGCATCAGCTTGCCATCGCAAGCCACTCTCTCCTCTCATCACATTGATATATCAGAATTACTACGCAAGCCACAGTCAGTTCATCTTCACCTCATTGAGCCCTCAGCTTATGTCCTTACGCAAGCCATTGCAAGATTGCAGCGTCACATTGCATATTCAGCTACTGCGTCGCAGCCAGCTCACTACTACCAAGTTTCATCACAATTCACCAGCAACTTCTTTACGCAAGCCCCATTCTGCTCATAATCAATAGATTGAACGATCAGCTTCTCTATGCAAGCCACAACTGGCAAATTCTCCCAATTAGAGGCTCATCCTTCGTCGTCCCCTCTCTACTCGGCCTGTTCGACAAGGACAAGCTTCCTTGTCACTTTCCCGGATTGCTTCCCCATCTCTCGTAGTACTCCATCAAGATCTGAGGGGTCGGTATACTGATACACGTCATCTTGTAACATGTTCCAAAGGTATACCTTGCCATCGTATGTGAACAGGTAGGCGCCCCCTCCAGATTCGCTGCTCCTGATCATTTGTGGCTGCAGCTTCGAAAACTCGGTTAAGCCGGCGTTCATGGCGGCCTCAGTACCGAGGCCTTCAGCTGACCAGTAGTAATCGAGGTCCATCTCCTCTTTATCGACAGTCCAGCCGTAAGGTGGGTTGTCGACGACCTGCATGTCGGTTAGAGTAGGCCTTGGAAGATATGTCCACTACGCGTTAGATTTGCGGCCATTGGACATGGGAGACGTACCATGACTGGTTGTTACGAGAGCTGAAGACTTGTGAGGGGAAGCAACGTTGACGTATCTGTGTTGTAGCCGACGCTTGATGCGGTGGCAGTGCGAGAGGAGAGGAGTTGTCGGTTGCTGAAGGAGTAAGATGATGATGAATTGAACTACAGTGAAGAACCCCTCCTTAAATGCGCAGAGGCCGAACACGTGATCAAGCTCAATTACAAGCAACTGCCCTCGTCTGTTACTGGACTCGAGTCGCTCGGGCTTTGAACTCCCCCTTCTGACCAACACCATTCGAGATCGATCACCGTCTCTAGAGTTTGCCTTTGCGGTATAGGAAAATAGATCATAGGAAGTTATGGCTAACCCCCCACCCGAACCAGATCTTCTACGTCCCTATGGGGATCCGGAAAAGGGCGTTGCTAATAATTGGTTTCGTGTGAAATTCCGGTTCACAAGAGAAGATGTAAGTCATCGAACCTGAGCTAAATACAATGGCCTGTTGCCGTGCAATACGAGACTACGCCAAAAAAAAATAAGAAAAATAGTGGAAAAAAACCGAATTAAAAATGGAACAAAGAAAAGGCTTAAAGAGGAAAGAAAAGGTGAAAGACAACTGAAGATCGAAAAAAAAAAAAAAAAAAAAAAATCCAAGGTAAAGCGGTTGACGTGTCAGTAGATCTTGAAGTGGATGAAAGATGTTGCATCGAAAAACAATCCCAACTGCCCCCCTGAAGAATTAAGGACCGACGACCATTTCAAATTCTTGTTGGAAGTCTATGACCAGCTTGAGTCTCTCGCGTAAGTACTCGGCCCCTAAATATGGACACCTCGAATGGCTCTCTGAGAAACTATATTCTGTCCACAAAACTGATCTCCAGACAAGGACGGGCGGTGAAAACTACGAAAAACCAGCCCTGAACAAGCACAAGTGCCACATTTATCGGGAGCTTAATCCAGGCTATGGCCCTAAACAGACTCAGAGCAAACTGGTTTCGGACTATTTGGTCAAGTCGTGGACCAACAACTACGACAGCGGTCCGGATGTCAGGAACATCAACTTAAACTACTGGTGCATCTATGACCTGATCGGTCTGTTCTTGAGTTTGCTGGGCAGTGCGCCTCCGGCAGCCGACAGAAACAACTACTTTCTTCCCCTAACTGCTGTCTACGCAAGATGGTGCAGCAGACTCGCCGGGAAACTGAAGAATAAGGCCAGCCAGGCGCCCTCCGATCCTGGAGTCGGTCCCATACCTATGATGTTCCAATGCACTTGGCGTGACCGAAAAGATGGGAAAGGTAAATGGTTTTTCCTCGGCGCATCGCTGGGAGGAGATCAATTCGCAGACAATCCTTCCGGAGCAGATTGGCAAATGAAGGTGCAAATGGAGCGGTTCCGAATTCTGCGAGAGCATCAACAAACGGTAATGGTCCGGGACGGTGACTTCAACTCAACTGAGCCTGAAAAGAATTTGCCCGATGGGACGGGAAATCTTTGGGGTAATTGTGCCGAGACCTATCCTTTCGTTCAATGCATGGACGCGTTCGAGTATGTATTGAAGCCCAAAATCTCAGCTGTTTAGTCCATTTTAACTTATTATAATTAGTGTGATAAACAGCAACCAGAACGTGCAGGGCCTTGCCCTCTCGAAGCTGTTTATCGACCAAAAAAAACCTGTTACAGATTACAGCGGTTACGCTGATGATCTCATCTGGAAAAGCGTCAGGCCTCCTTGTCGTAACTGCGGGGATATCCTCCGAAGGGTCCAGGCGAATCAAGATTTATTTGCACAAGCATTTGAGATGGATAGGGCTCCTCTCCGCAATCCACCGGCTCCTCCACAAGACGCTGAAGTCGAGGAGGGTTTTGTCATACGGGACATGAAAGAACCACTGATCCAAGAAATGGTGGAGGTGACATCGAATTAGGAGGCGATATACGCATATATGTTTGTCTTTGGATCGTTCGCTGTGTCACATCTGGGCTATTCTATAGGTAGGTAATTACGGTGAACAGTTTTAGTACAATAAATGCGTTGGTTGCTCTTTTCATATGCAATCTTTGAGAAATAATATCTGTGACAGAACCTAGATGCGAGCTACCAAGCTCAGTATTGCCCCAAACAGCACACAGAGACTATGTAGTATATCTCTCTGAATCTAACATGACTGATTGCCTATGTTGGGAAATAAAACGAAGGAGTCAGGAAAGATAGTAAGCACTGTTAGAAGAGGCTAAATGTACTCAATTTCTACTTCTTCTACCCACGAAAGGCGCCTGCTCTCCGTATACCCTCAAGCAGTCAACAGCGGTGCAGCTACATACATCTTCATGAATCCCTTCTTCAACCTCTCGGGAATTCCCGCAGTGCTCTTGAGTGAATCTGGCTTGTCCCACTTAAAGCTCTCTGCTAGAAGACCTACAAATCCCTTTTGCCCATCATCTTCCGTGCCCCATGAAGGGTTGGACCAGCTATCCAGCACGGCAGCGTACTGTTTGTCAAAGTCCTCCACCTCCTTGTCGTTCTCATCTTTCTTCTTAAAGGACTCAACGGGTTCCCAGGCTGTGTTTGCATTTGCAATGGTTGGGAACGGTTTGACAGACTTAAGGCGCTCCAGTGAAGCGTCAGCTACGTCAAACGCCGGGAAAGGATCAGGTGCCATTTGGGCCTTGGGTGCGGTCAACTTGACGCCCATCATCAGAGTAACGGAACTGTCATCGCCTTTGAGAAGATCGGTGATGTTATTTTTACCACCGCTGGGATCCTGGCTTGGGTCATCTGCGTTCTCAAAGATTAGCTTCTCATACACATAAGGTCAAACAGATAAGAGACACTTACACATGGCCCAAAGAGCTCTTGGTACATTCTTGGTGTACTTTTCGTATTGCCATCCATTGTCCTCTTTCCCATTCTGGGCGACAGTCACAAGAAGAGTTGATGTCATGGATTGATCCAGTTGCATTGGCTTGCTAAAGACATCGCCGCCTTTGATGATGGGATCCTTGTCTTTTTCGTTCTTAAACTCATTGATGGCCATCTTGCATGCCACAATGAAAGAGAAGGATCCTGCTCGGACTACCCATGGATCGGTTGTTTTCCTCGTCGGATTCTCTGCCGAATTCAACAAACCAGTCTGGGCAAGGAAATTGTGAGCTTCATTCTTGTCCGGGTCTGGGTACTTGTCGTCTGCCAACAGAGTTGTCTTTTCTCCTCCTTCTTCTTCCTCTGCCTCTTCGCCCATTGTGATGAAGGCCTGGGCCGTCTTGGACGGGTCTTCGGATGCTTGCAGTACAAGCTGGTAGAACTTGAGCAAGTCCACGGCCTCGATCTTTGACTCCGAGTCGCCAAAGTTGATATCAAAGGCAATGATCCAGAAATCGACGTGGACGCGACCTGCCAATGGAGGTCCCCAGAGGTACAGCTGGGCACCGATTTCGACAGAAATATGGGTGTGAATGAAGAGGAAGTCAATATTGTACCGAACGCCAACGGACAAACCCGCTTGGGCATTGAAGTGGAACGGCTTGTAGTTAATGAGGAAGTCAGCAAAGGCATCAAACCAGGCCTCGAGAGGACCGGCGTGGAAGGAAGCATGAAGTCGTCCACCTCCCATGCAAGCTTTAGGAGTGATGGCAAAGTATGCTTGCCCGGTGATGCTCAGGTTGCTGCTGAGGCTCCAGCTGATGCCTAGGCGAGGGGGGTTGGGGTATCCTACTGGGACTTTGTATGCTTGGTGATAACCTCCCAACGTGAAGACGAAGTCGCCAACAATCGATTTGTCAGCTTTGGGAGCATCGAACCAGTAGTACAGTCCCATGCCGCCAGTAAGATGACAGTCCGGATACAAAATGAAGGATCGCGGAGACAACTGCGCTTCAATCTTGAGAGTGCCGAATTCGAAATCTGCCACGGCCGCAATACCAAGTTCTACATGGGCAAACTTGACGGGAGCCTTTGGATTTGGAATGTCCGCGAGGGCGAGCGCAAAGATGCCCAGCTTGATGGCTTGACCAAATTGCACAACCACAACCGCATCGAGGCTGATCATCTCAAAGGCATCGATCTTCATACCCACAGCAGCCCAGTACGTGTCGTTGAGAGGCTGGAACCATCCAGAAGGACCGGGATCTGTGAGTTTTTGCAGGGCTTCCATGGCATTTGCCGCACCTCCGAGATCAGTGCTGGCGATGAAGGGGAACTGGTAAATCTCCGCTGCCGTGGGTACGCGGACATTGCTATTGTAGCCGAAGCCACCGCATATGCCAGATATCTCTGCAAACTCCAGTGTAATGAGGGGGCCATCAAGCTTGGCAAAGACAAAGACGGATTTGAATTCGTCCTGGTCCTTGGGCTTTACCGTACCATAGAAGCCGGCCGCTTGGAATTGGTAGGGTACCCAACCCACGATGAGGCCACCGGCGTAGTAGTCGATGCCGCCTTTGTTGCCGTGCCGGATGATGCCTGCTATCATCAACGGGGGCTTGTCAAAAGCAGCGGCAAGACCTTCAATGCTTGCCGAGAACGTGGGTTTCGAGTTAAGAGACTTGATGTCGACCATGATGGTGAAGCCAATCAGCGAGAAACCGATAGGACCCAACTCAAAGGCCGCATCGAATTTCAAGCCCAGCATCTTATCTTTGTATTTGAGTCCGACATTGCTGATGGATATTGGGCCTGCCTTCTTCTTGAAAGGAGCCTGAGCGCTTGGACTTCCATCGTCAGCCGGCTCTTCTTTCTTGCCCTTGCCACTCTTCAGTACGAGAGCCTTTTCGGATGCAGATCCAGACTGTTTGCCCTTGGGCTTGGGTTTCATGAATGCATAGTCTAACAAGCATGACCTTTCACCTGTAGGACTATGGATGATGACGGCAAAGTGGCACCCGGCGGCCACCAAGATGTCCGTATCCTTGGCCATCTTGGGATCGATTTTGTCCTTGACTAAAATCGGATCTGTGGCATCGGCGTTGACCTGGGCGAGGTCTTTGCGTGTAAGACCGGCCTCTTTACCGGGCTGTGGGTTCTTTGCATTGTCGGGGTCTTGAACCCAAAGAAAGTAGAGTTCGTCCAGTGGTTGCTCCACGTCGCCAACCAGTGGAATCGTGACCTTTTCGCTCGAGAAGCCGTTCACAGCGACTTGAACCAGGCGCTTGGATGCGGCCGTTTTGCCCCAATCTGTGCTGCGTAACTGGGCAAACTTGACATGTACTTTGCCGATATTGATTTGAGCCAAGAAATGGAACCAAGTCGATTCAGTCTTTCCAATGGTTGCAGTCTTCTTTTCAACGTCCAGTTGGAAGGCCTTTTCGTTGTCCGTGACAAGGGGCGTGTTTGCCACAAAGTCGGGAAGCTCAATCTCATCATCTCCGAGAATGTCCTCAAGCACCTCCCCGATGGTGACACTCTCATCGGTGGGGGTGAGGAACGCGGTGAATTTGAAGCCCGCCTTGTTATGAGTAAATGTGAGACCAAGCTCCAGGCCGGCAATGATCAAGTCCCCAGTGATTGCAAAGGTCGTGCCTTTGGACTTGCCTTTATCAGTGCCCTCGGTGATGCCCTCATATGTATAATTGACCTTAAGGGTGCGAACTACAATTGACTCAATGAGTGGGCAAACTGCATCTTTCACATCGTCATCGAAGAACTCCACCAACGTTGAGGCGTAGAGGTTGCTGAGGGAGGCGTTGAGCTCCCATTTCTGCGCCTGAGACTCATAGCTCAAAGAACCCACCAACACTGCAGGTACTTGATGCTTGGCCTCTACACTTGGCACAATGCCAGCACTGAATGCAAACTTGAGGGCAAAACCGGAGCTGCTCTTGCCCCATTCAAAGGATGCGTCCAAAGAAACCTCGCCCAGATATGGTTGAGGGGCGGAGCCAGGGGTGATTTTCTTGGCAGTGGCCGTACCGGCAATAGCAAAGGTGTGATCCGACAGTTGGATATAGGCGCGTGTAATCTCCGAAGGGAGTGTGTCGGGAATGTTCACCACCGTCTGGCCGGGTATCAGAGATGCAATCTCAATGCTGGGTGCCGGATCTTTCGTGACGGGCAGCAAGATATTCCACGTTTCTACCCAAGGCTGAAGATCCAAATTATCCATAGCGGTGGTGTCTGTCATTGATTAATTCATGTGGTTAGCACGTAGCTCAATCAGTGGCATCATAATCAGGGGGTTCATCGACTCACTATTCCAGAGCTGTCCTTCCAGCGTGCCGAGTCCACCCCTACTCCTATCCCAGCGATACGAGAGGAGGAATACAGCAGGTTTACCAGTTTTTGCTGTACCAATGTTGGCTGTAACTTCGATATCAAATGAGAACTTTGCCAACTTAGGCGAATATTTTCCCTTCTCAGTCTCGAGTCCAACAGTGAAACGTCGCAGAGTAGTGGCCGAAAGAACGTTTTGGCTGCCTTCTTTCTTGCCCAGGAGTCCAGTAACAAAGTCTTCCAGGCCCGTGTCATCAATGAGCTCGGCAAGCCACATCAAAAGACCCTTGAGCGGGCTTTCTGAGAGGAACATGAATGTCAAGCTGAGGCTGCGGGCTCCAAACTCAACACCAGCGACCATTTTAACTTCTGGGGCATCTCCATTTTTAGCCTTGACGGTGCATCCGATGCTCAAGGCGACAGTGCCCTGATCCACTGGAAGATCCCCCTTTTCAGTTTGTCCGAGAACCAGCTTTCTCTTGCAGACGGCATCTGCAGTGTTGAGTTTCAAGCCTTTGAGGCCGATATTTAGCAGATCTTCCAGGTACTTTGTCTGCTCAAACTGAAACTGCAGACGGATTGTGGTAGTCATGTCGGCGTCCGGCACTAGCCACATGGCATTACGCTTTGGGTCATCCTCTTTCCCAGGGTTTTTAAGAGTCAGTGGTAGACCAGACAGTTTCTTGGGCAAGAAGTAGTCCACCATATTCTGTGATCCAA